GTGAGTTTTGATATTTTCAAGGGATTTGTTGACAATAGGAAAAACATAAAACGTCACCATCTTTATTGTTTAATATCAAATGTATGCTTTCATCATTTTATTGTCCTACAAAATATCCACTGCAGTTAAAACAACCAATGAGATTCTTTGCTTTTGGAAACGTTTGTAATCGAGGCCAATCCTGCGTATATTGGTATGTTCTATGTTCTTAACACTTGTCATTCTGTCACCTAAAGTATTTTCTAGCCCAGTCCTTGCTTTCACTGTTGCACATATTAGACCAATAATTAGATGCAGACTGTGTTTGGTGAAGTGAAGGGTAAGTGACACTTCAGCTGGAAAGAAAAGCTGTGAAACTGACGCCACACCAAAGGTGGCGAGGCATAACTTAGCTAAGCAACTTTTGTGAAATGGATAAACGAGGAGCTAAAAAGAGAACTGGAGTAATTCTGTTCAGAGGGGAGAGCAAGGAAAGGAAGCAGTTTGCAACTTTCAACCACCAAAGGCATAACAGCAATGTGTGTGTGTGTGTGTGTGTGTGTGAGAGAGAGAAAGAGAGATGACACATAATGAGGTGCAAGAAAAAGCCTACACTCTGCATTGTGCTGAGAACAAAATAATAATAACAGCAGTGACTAGAGGCAGGAAAATCCAATTACAATAGCCATTACTCCCTCTACTGGTGAACAGCCAAGAGGGACAATAGAAGCCATTCGCCCAAATTTCATCCAAAGCTTAAGTAGCTTCACCCTTTGCCCTTTTCAGTGGAGGCACTTGCCAGCATATGGGCTTAGGGGGAACTGTGGCTCAGTAGTCCAGGCTGGTTATCCTAAGAATTGGATGCTTGTGACAGTTTATGGACAAGATCATGAGGCCATTTCGACTGCAAGCAGATGAATGTACTGTAAAACATAAATATAAAGTTTAAAGCACTCACAGCTGGTTTACGCATGCTTACAAAAACGTGCAGTTCAAGAAATCTGTGTAAGAGGGAAAAGGTCATCTATAATCCGGACAATCAGAGGTCATGGTTGGATTAAATTTCAATGTGTAAAATCACTTTAAATGGCACTGGGTTTACTTTGCTTAGGTCAAGAGGATCAGTTTTTCATTACGTGCAAATCTCAATCTCACCTCATTTTGGTCCACAGTTCATTTTCAAAGACTAATTTTTGCAACAAATCAATATATTTGGGATGGCAGATTCCCTCCCTTTTCTTAAACTCTCCAATGTTGGTTGCTCAGTTTAAATGTACTGCATTAGCCCTGTAAAGAGGCCTATTCTAATCCATGTGCATCATGGTGCCATCTGATATTTGACCCCAATGGAACAGGCCTGGAGGTGGGTGACATTACCTATCTGCTAACACAACATCTCCATAAATAAAAAAAAAGAGAAAACACAACAATCACCCCTTTTTATGCATATGCATTATGCAAATGGTGTCATCAGGTCCATGTGCCTGGAGGTAAAGCAGAGGAGAAAGCAGACTTTGGCTTGTGGGTGTGGAGATGTATTTTTATGTAAAAGGATGTAGAGGGCAAAGCCACATAAATTCAGTTTACTCAGCTTTAAGCGAGGCTGTGCATTAATATTAATAAGGTTAAAGTCGTGGGATTCGAGGAGGATCAAGACTGGCGATATTTTAGCTTTAATTACCTAATGTTTCTATTTCTACTGTATGACTGATTTCTTGTTGCTGCCTCGTGATGTGCCGTGAATATTATTTTAATGCTGTCCTCGTGATGTAATCATTGTTTTCAGTGGTTGCTTGGCTTTTCTGGTTAGACTTTAAGTTTATGTTTTATTAAACTTTGTTTTATTCACCTACTGAGTGTTTAGGAGCGACATAGCAATAAAACACCTGCCAGAAGTAAAAAATAAACAATAAAAAAAAAAAGCAGCGCTTATCTCACCTGGTGAAAATATCGCCTCCAACGAAGAGCAGAGCAAGACACGACAGGAAGAAAGTTGGAACCTCCATTCCACACGCTTTGCGATAAATAATTGAAGGGAAAGAAATGAGAAAAGTTTCCAGGAAAGGAAATCGACGACAAAAGCCACGGGTTTCTTTTTATTTTAGTGCGCTGTCGTCGTGATCCGGCGCTGCCGCGAACAAAGTAAAGTGCGGTGCTGGTGCTGATGCTGAAGATGATGGTGATGATGACCCCATGATCCGTCCCCAAATTCCTCCGCGTCCAGGAGCGCACGAGAAGAGAGCGCACCGAGGAGACGCAAAACTCTCCGTCCGACCGCAACAACGAGCCGATCCACCGCTGCCGCCGCCGCCTGTCCTCCAGCAACAGAGAGAGAGAGGGATGGATGGAGAGAGAGAGAGAGAGAGAGAGAGAGAGAGAGAGAGAGACTCACTAATCTGTCGATCCCTCCTTTGCTTGGCCTGTAAACGTCAGATTCAATCTGGCCATGAAGGCGCGGGGGGGGCGTTAGGAAGGCATGTCACGAACATAGGACATGAGTATATTATGTAATGTTTGACACGTTTGAATCATCTCCATGAGGTAATTACTGTCTCAAAAAAGTTGTCTTTCACTCTGGTGGGAAAGGGATAAACAGCAGAGACTATCATTTGAGGTGCCCAGTGGGGGGTCCATAGTGGACGGAAGCACCCAGAAATCCTTCAGTTGGTCTACAGGGGACCTTGCCCCATTAAAAAAAGGTACTTCAGTTGTGTTTTCACAAGTCAAATACTTTCATGCAGTAGCCTAAGTAAACTCATGTTAGATGGAGTATTGTATGTATTCTCTCATAGGGATAACTGGTGGTGAGTTCTGTACAGTTAAACCATTTCTAAAGGGACTCTGCTACAGCTGACTGCCCCAGGTTGTCACAGGCTTTTGGTCAGCACAATAATGTGAGAAAGTGAGGAACTACTCTGATACTGCTCAACACCTCCATCACAGACTGTTATATAATTGAATGTAATTCTATTCTTATGTACATGTAGATCAGAATGTCTCTCATATCAGAGTCCTATTACTGTAGCACAAAGGTTATAACACATTTAATGTCAGGGACCAAAGGCCATGATTTGAAGAGATTCAGTCTCTATGGGAAACCAGTGGAGATGAAATAGAATATCACACAATAAGACCACTACTGACTCAAAAGTCTTATTCAGGGACCTTCATTGCAAAGCAGCTACTGTGAATGTCATCACTGAGCACCACAGAAATACACCCATGGAACATAAACCATCAATCTAGAATGAACACCACAGACAAACTATATAAATCCATGTATTATAGGAGTATTAAAAACATTTACAGTATAATAAGAGTAGTAAATACACTTGTAGTACCACAAACATATTTAGGGTAAATCAGTAACTTTCAGAAAGATTTGAAAAAGAATTGTCAACACTGATCAAGTTATCCCCACGCTGTAGACCTAACAATCATTATAGTGATATTTATATATTAATTAAGTAGAAAACATAACTCAATGATACGGTAATCATATGCAAATAACTAAATGCCTTGGGTGTATATACATCATGTTAAACTTGTGAATAATGCGCATTTCAAACTGTTGGTCGTCAGATGCATTCACTTTACTACTGTGTTAAGGTCCTCCTTTTACAACGTTCCCCAGTGTGGGATCAATAAAGTCTATTTTTCTGACCTATTGACATTACATTGGCTTCCCACTGTAAACAACCCCATATAGTTTAATAAGGGCACCAGATACAAGAAGCCTTGAAAGTAAAATCAAAACAACAAGGTATAGAGTTACAAACACATCTTGCTCCCCACAGGAATTATTATATGAATTTATTTATATTAAAGAAATATTATATGAGTCCCAGAGGTATAATCTCATAAACATTTTAATCTCCTCTCCTCAGTTTGATTAAATAATCAAATATAAGATTTATAAATTACAACAAGAAGAAACAAAATTTGCAGGCTTTTATTTTCTCCTCATTAAACATAACCTCTTTTATATGCTACGGCGAGAGCAGCTCAGTGCATAGTTGCAGCAGTGCACCTGCCCTGGTTTTTGCTGCCTCACCCTGGGGAGCAGAGACAGGCCTGGAGTCAGTGGCTGCGGATTCAAACCCACTGCCTTCCTCCCACCGGACCCTCCACTTGGATTTGCACTGCAAGTTCTTTTGATATGTGCATACCAGGCTAAAGTACGCATGCAATGCACTACATGGGATTATATTCTCTTTGTTTCTAATTCCTTTTTATTCCTTTCACCCTCATGCATTCTCTTTCTCTGTTTTCCTCCTGTTGATCCATTGTCTTGTCTTTGTTTCCATCGCAGTAATTTTACTTTGCCTCTCTCTCTCCAACAAAACCTGCCCCCTATCCTACATCACACACATGCACACTCTTACTATCTATTTATTTATTCAGTCTCCCATGGTGATACGAAATATTCCTGTATCACAAGATTTCAACATGTTATACAGTGGGACACACACATCTCTTCTTCCTCCTCCGCTTCCGCATTCCTCTTCAACAGTATATATGATGAACTGAGGGAAAGCTGTTTTATGTCAAATAAAATAAAATATTTCCATTAGGCTATAAAGCACATTGCAATACTGATTAACTACAAATTAATGTATTTTTCCAGTTTAAATCAGATATAGGACCTAGCATGCGTGACAAAAGATTTTGCATAATTCACAGATTTATCATTGTTTCTGAATCCACAGTGATATTTTCTGCTGAGTGTGGCTTAACTAATATCAGGTCAAAGAAATACCAGTGTTAGTGAATGAAATTATATTGACAGCAAGAAGATCACAGGTGTAAAAAATGTCCCCGACATTATTTCAGTATTTGAAAACGCATTTAATTGATTTACCTACTTTAACATGGCATTAAAGTACTTTGTTAGACATTAACGTTATATCATAAGGACAATAAATAACGCTGTGATTACAGTCAGAATTACCACGAGCCTGTGGTTTCAGTTGGACGTTCAGTTGACGCTCGTCGTCAGGCCCCGCCCCTTGCGTCCCGTCTCCATAGAAACACTAACAAACATGGCGGATTCAGATTTACTGTGAGAAAAAGTAATTTTGAGACGATATCTTGCCAAGAGAAGGAACCCCCAACTTAACGAGGTAACGGCACAATGTTTGTTAAATTAAGTTTTTTTTTTTTTACTTTAAATATGATACAGTCTAAATTCCACATTTAGTTAGTTAACTGCGCATTATTAGTTCGTTGTATAGCTGTCTAGTTATCCAAGCTTAGCTAACATTAACGTTAGTTAGCTCCATATCGAGTAAATGACACGCCAACTTCCTTTTATAAATCTGGTTGTTGTATGTTGCCTTACATACTGGCAATGTCACGCAATTCACGAAGAACAAAACTACATATATTTTACTAAACAACATTTCAAAAACCGATTACAACTTTTTAAATGAGAGCAGCGGCTATTCGTGCACTTGTAACAAGCAACATGAGCCAACACTGAAATAGTTCAGGAATTAACGCTATCTCTGCCGAACAATTCAGTGAGCAACCACGTAAAAAAGGTTATTGAAGAGGTTGGTTAGCCTTCAGTCCATTCTCAGGGATTTATTGAAGATATTAGTTATTAGGTTTATCTGATAATATCCGCCTTTGTTATTCATAAATAAGGTTCAATGGACGTCGAAGACAGGGACAGTGCATCTGATGTGGCGTCAGACAGGAGTGGACCGCTGGGTGTCCACCTCAGCCCTGATGAAGACATTGGGGGTGAGTGACAGCTCCTGTTGCTCGCTTGTTTGCAAAATTCAGCCTGTAGTCTCTACTTGTAGTCACTAAGATACCTACTTCTTCTTCACAGGAGCCATTTTGACGCGAGGGTACACACAGGTGTTACCAATGACACTAATTAATGTCCCATTCCATTTAGTGTAGCAGAGCCTTTCCAGTGAGCCACCATGCACAGTAGCAGCACCCTGACCCAGTGTGACCGGAGTGGATCAGAACCTTAATTGGTATCATTAATAACACCTGTGTTTACCCTACTGTCTCATGTAAAATGGCTTCTGTGAAAAAGGTCTTTTATACATATACATAACTCTGGGATACCTTCACTTAATGGTGACATATATATTTCAGGAGATGGTCCAGACGAGGAGACCTTTGACGATGAAGAAGCAGCCCTTCCTCCTGATTTGGAGTGGTTAGAAGAGTTGTATGAGTGGGTGTTTCTTGCTATTCTGTGAATCATATCGCTTTTAGACAACACAAATGTCTATGTGTTAATCTTTAATCCTGTTATCTCCCTCTCAGTATTTAGAACATTACTGTGACTCAGTGTGATTCTCAATATGATATTTTAATGGAAAGTAATAATGACAATAATAAAGCTCAATTTTGACTATTTTTTCTTTAATTGATTAATCATGTTTTCACCGTCATAAAACCTCAGTACAAATATCTCCATGCTTAATAGTGGTATCATTTTATGTATGTGCTAATGAAGAGTCAGATTAAACATACAGCGTTGTCTAAATGTCATTTTTGCATCTGCCCAAAGAGACGACGATGGCGATGGCAATGGCGACCTTGCGTTTGCGGCTGACAGTGGTAAGAAGAGGAGTTATTCCGCGACAGCACGGATGTTCAAGCTGAGACGAAACCTGGACCAGCTGGACTGCTTTCACCGACAGAAGGAGCATGACGTGCTGAACGCCAGGTCTGGATCTGGCAACCAACAGCCCTCTAGAGCCACAGTAGCTCCTTAACCTAGATAGCCATCCCTGTGCCTTCCTAGACTACTGAAACCTGATCACAATGGAAAACTTTGCATGTGTTTTTGTTTTTTAGTATGAACACCAAAGAAAGTGTCATTGCATCGCTAAGAAAAAACTATTTCCCACAATCTTTTCAGTTTCAGAGTTATTCCACTTTCCCCGGTCTCTTTCCCCCTTTGCCCTCGTCACACAGGGCCAATCATTTCTGTACCAATTGATTCAGCACTTTGCAGGAAATAATTTCAGCTGAAGAGAGAACATTTCCCATAATGTCCTCTCTCCCCACTTTTCTTCGCTCCATTTTATTTGTCTGCACTGCGAGCCATTAAGCACCCGATGAACTGTGATGCAGTCCCCGGCAAAAATGGCTGTCATTTTCCTTTAGCACAAAACATCAAAGGTCAGAGTGGAGCTGTGCTGCGCTCTGATCAAACATGAGTTTAATGGAACCTAAAACACACCTGGCTCTTAACCAATCCGCAGCTTTTATAGTTACATATGCTGTGATTTTCTTTTTATGACAGTCTTTTCCCCCAGTCGCAGATTGCTGTGTTGTACACCATTAGACTGAAAAAAGAACATTGGGCTATTCAAAGCTGTTGAGGTGTGTGTGTCCACTCTCAGCTTTTCAATATCTTCAGTAGATTACCCTGTTGGCTGACATAATTATCTCCCTTTAGTTGCAGTGACCACAGCGAAATCTATTAGCCTGATGCTCTGAACACATTGCCTTGAAAATGTTTCTTCTGATTGGCTTTGACCTGGAATGTTTTTCTATGTCAATACTCGACCCTGTCTGTGTTATCTTGTGTTTCTTTTTCCCAGGGAAGAGCTCAAACTCTGTCGTCAGAACATTAAAAGTTTGGTGGAGCAGAGGAATGACATGGAGGAAGAGATAGAGCGACAAAAAGCAGCAGACAACAGGTGAGTCCAAAAGTAACAAACAGTGACTGGTTTGTGTTTTATGTCCCAATATAAGGATGTTTCTTTTTAGTCCAACCTCCTGTGTATTCCACTCTTTGTTTCTTTTACTCTGCAGTGTGGTGGTGTTTCGTTTGCGAGCACAGCATAAGCATCTGTGTCAAAAGCTGCAGAGTGAGGAGGAGCTGGAGGGCCACATCAACACTGAGCTGAAGCAACAAGAGTGAGTCAGAGAGGGAAAAGGTTTGACAGCAAGGTCTTGTTCTGACACCTATTAGTACTACGTGAATAATGCAGCCCCCATATTAATTCAATGGGAACACTGCATGACACAGCAAACACAGAGGGAAAAAGGAAGCATGGTCATCCAGGAAAAAAGTTTAATCCACATAAATGTTTGCCGCAACACAATGTGATGTCAACTGGAATCAAAGGACTGTATTTACCAATCAGACTTGTACGCACACATTCCTTGTAGATTACTTTATAACACGAAATGGTCACAACAGAGGATGAAATTATCAAATTCCACCATGAGTTGTAAAATCCTGTTTTATTATTTAGTATTACAAGCCACTGTGCACTGTTATGGCTTCTACTTTTCTTCAAACTGGACTTCCTGGATTGTATTTCAGCATCTCATCAGCACGCCCACACCAATGCAGCCCCTTGTGTTTTTTCTAACAGTGTGTGCTCTTTTTACTCAAAAAGCCTGGTTACTCAACACTTTGTACAGCTGCATCACAGTAATAAATGCTGTAAACAATCATTTTTGCTGGAAGGCTTTTACTGCCAAGCAGGCAATTATGGCATGCTAATATCCCAAGAGTTTGATATGCAAGAAAAACTTGCCTTTTTAATTTTGTACTTTATACGCTAAAAATCATTCCACTGTGGTCTCAGGCAGGTTTGCCTTTTTTCTAAGGCCTCATTCTGCTATAAAGAACCAGTTATTCAGGAGAAATTTCCTGTTTCCTAATGGTCTGAATGGTGTTTTGTAGACTTTTACAAAAATCACCCATTAAATGTTTCCCTCTTAGACCAATTGATTCAGTTGACTGATCAGTTCTTAGTATGATTTAAATAAAAAACTAGAGAGCAAAATTAAATCTGCATTGTGCCTCAAAACCCCATGTAGATCTGGCATCTTACATCAGCTACAGTGACTGTACTGGCAGATAATATACACAATACGCCACCATACAGCTATCTCATTTTACATCCTTGTTCCTCAGACTGGAGCTGATTGAGGTGGAGGTGGAGCTTGGCAGGTTCTCCTTGCTCCGGCAGGAGGTGCAGGAGGAGGAGCGGGTCTTCCAGGCCCTCAAGGCTGAGAAGGCAGTGACGAGGATGCAGCAAGAGAGGAAAGCCAGCCAGAACCTGCAGCGCAAGATGCAGCATCTCAGGGAGTAGGGAAAACAAGCAGCACTCCCTTATGAAAATATTTTTTGCCCTGTGAAGTTATGGCAACCAAGACTCATATGTCTGTAAGTGTCTGTGTTTGTCTTCTTATAGTAAACAGGCAGCCATGCTGAAGAAAGAGGAGTCTGGATGTCAGAAGGAAATTGAAGAGGGCCAGGTGAACCGCAAGATAGCTGCCAAGTACTTAAAAGAGACCATTAAAAGGTAATCAGCTATTAAGCCAATGAGCAGGGTTTAGACTAGAACAAGAATATTATGCATCTCAGTGAACTTGCTGCAGATTGACACATCCTAGTGATCCTTCACTCATAAAATATATTGCAAGCACAACAGACAGGATACTTGAAAGAGCTCAGGTTCATCCAGAAAAGTTAGAGCTTAAAGCAAATGAGTGATTCAAGTAATGATATTTCCCCAAAATGCTAATTATTGAAAACACTGTACATGAAATTCAGCCATTTGACCGGTCTGCCCTAACATTAGTGTTTTCTTTTTGGAAATCCAGTATAGTCATAGTCATAGATCCACCTCAAAACCTTAAGGGATAAAGGTGGCAATATTACATATTTTCTTATTGGAGACCAAAACCAACAATGCACTGATTCTACTAATAAGTATTCCCTGAGTAGCCAAAGTGTGAGCCACACTGTTACACTGGGTCACTAATTCCTTAATTACCATTATCATTAGTATTATCCCTCGTCATCAGAATTCAGGGAGTGGGGAAGTTCCCATTCAATATTTACAATCTGCAACAACAGTATTTTCTATCAGTATTTCCCACCTAAAAGCTTGTAATGTAATGTGTAATGTAATACTTACCATGTGACAGCTCAGATCATTATGGTTATACAGAATATAGTTATGATAATTAACTTAAGCTCCTAGAAGTTTCGATCCCAAGCAGTCATTTCAGATTTGTTTTTCTCTCTGCACTGTGTTTGAGCATTCACATTCTTTGTGATCGTCCCCGTTTCATTCAGGATGCATCAGCAAGAGGCTGAGAAGAAGCAGCAGAACAGAGAGTTACTGGAAAAGAGGAAACAGGCTGTCAAGTCACTGAAATCAAACATAGCAGCCACCCAAGTAAGCATCAGCACCCTCCCATACTGATACTGTAGCATTATAGTTGTTTTAGCATTGATGGGATACAAAGCTGTAATGCTATGTATTATTAACACTTTCTATTGCTACCATATCTATGTATAGTGCAATATAAGATCATTCCTAAGTGCATAAGTGAACAACCTTTTAAGTACAACCCATATTTAGTGATACATTATATACTCATGAAGCTTTAAAGACATAGTGATACAACTTTGCCTTGATTTGTACTAAAATGGCAATGTATATGTACACATGTAACTGTATAGTTCAATGCATGTATAAAAATTGAATATCATTTTCTGATGTTGGTCTAATGATTATACCCATTTGCAGTCTAGTGTCATAATTTGGTCCACCAGTTACTGCTGATAGTACAAACCCATTTTGAACATTTATCATTTGACTTTAAGCTAAGAAGTTTCACGGAGTCCAGCAGGTGTTATGGGGAAAAAAAGGACAAATATAATGTGAAGGAATGATTGCATTAACAGTAGTGCTGCCGCTAATGCAGATGCTTGCCGTAACTGACCAGAGTAGCCCCAACAATTTTAGACTATTGACAGACTGTAACATCTGGTCAACTACGTTATGAAGCCAAAGGAAATCCTCCTACATTTAAATAAAAACATGCCATTAGGACCTTGATTTACTTTCTTTCAAGCTGGCCAAATTTTCCTCCTACCTAAGAGAGATGTGAAACATTTTCATTTTATTGTCATACTACAACAACTACAATTTCTTTAGGAGAGCTTACGGGTCCAACAAAGCAGAGCCAAAGCAAACGCCCAAAAGAAAGAGCAGCAACAGAGACAACTGAGAGAATCCCTGCAGGCCCAAGGAATCAACAATACCAAGCATATGTACCAACAGAAGCAACTAGATGAGATCAAACGAAAACAAGAGTATGTCCTCTCCTCTCCCTGTCCTCTCCTCTCCCTCTCCCTCTACTCTCCTCTCTTCTCCTCTCCTCTCCTTGTCCTTTCCCTCTCCCTCTCCTCTCCTCTCCTCTCTTCTCCTCTCCTCTCCCTGTCCTTTACTCTGCCCTCCTCTCCCTCTCCTCTCTTCTCTTCTCCTCTCCTCTCCTCTCCTCTCCTCTCCCTCTCCTCTCCTCTCCCACATGCATGTCCTCTACTCCCACTCCATGCAGCAGCGTGTGGGTGTTTTCTCTCGCTGTGTGCTGAGGAATACATGACCGCATTTCATTATAATGCAGTGTTGTTGATTTGCCCTTCTCAGGGAATTTGAAAAGAGGCAGAAGTCAAAGAGAGTGGAGATTGTAGCAAAAATCCTCCAGGAGGAACAGCTGGTAAAGAGAAGAAAGAGGCACCAGGCACTGCTGCCTAAACCATCAGCCACTGACAAGTTCCCATCTCTGGGGATGGCAAGAGAGAAGCTCCTGTACTACCTGGATCCCAGCCCCCCATTAGCCAGGGAGGAGAGAGACACAATCGTGAGTGGTCCATAACATCTAAGAAATACCTGCATAAAGAGATCAAAGGCATTTTCGACAATTCTGTGACCCAATGTGTGTGTGCATCTGTCCAGAAGTTAAGAGAGTTCAGCAACATCAGCAGCAGCTCATCTTCAGCTTCTTCTGATGTTGAGGACCTGGAGGAAACCATGCGTCCAGAAGTGGACCACCAGAGCCTTGCTGAAAGCCTGGCTGAGCCTGAGTTCTCTGGTCTGTGGGAGCAGAACTGCAAGGTGCACTGAAACAACAGCTACTGCCAACCAAAAAGCAAATCCCTGCTAGCTGCTAAAATTAAACGCTCATAAATCATTTCCCATTCACAGCAGGCACATCATTTTTCTATGGATGTGCTTATTGCATATTTTTCAACAGATGAATTCCCCACCTGCAAACTGAAGCATGTTATGTAAATAATTGCAGTGAAAGCAAATATTTAATTAATTTGAAATAGTTGCGTAGCAGACTTGATGTAAACAACAAAGATGATTCAATTGATTTCTTGTTCACTGATTTAATCAGGCTGGTTGAAAGTTAAGGGTTAGGTAGCATCTGTAGGGGCAGGAACAAAACAGAGGTTCAATTCCCAGTAGCTGTACCTGCGGCTTGTTAGCGTGTTCCAATAAACACGACTGTCAGTGTGTGCCAAGGGATACCAGTGAAGGATCATGTTCTCATTCCTTCATTTCAGACTGGGATCCTGGATCTGGGATCTGGAATGGGAAATAAGCAAAAAAAAAAGACAACAAGACCCTTTAAACCCTCCCCAGGTCAACAATCAGGCCACAATGCTGAGGGAATTAGGATAGGGATAGGGTTTCTACTGATGTTTTTAGATAAGAGCTTTTCTGTTACCGAGACTGAATTAAAAATGAGAGAATTTACATTTAGAATATGAACGATTAGAGCGGGAACTACTAGTCGATTCATTGGTTAATCAATCGACTGAAAATGAAAATGAGAACAAAAATGTTTGTTGTTTACAAGTAATTTATCATGCAAAAATCATAACAGATAAAACAAAAGAACAACAGATTACCAAGAAATCTGAATGAAAATAATTGCTAGTTTCAGTCCTATTACTGATTAGTCAAATACATTGGTACATTATCTTGGGGGCATCAGTGTTATCTGTGCATGTTTCGAGCAGCTAGACCTTCACAGTTGGGATCACTGCAGGGTGTGAACCACAAGCAGCTCCTGCTACTCCTATTGTTAATTCCTCCCCTGCAAAATGATCCCTGGCTAAAATAATCCATCCATTAAAACTATTCAATAATGCTACTACCGCTCTAACCACTGATGATCAACCACAGTGATGAAGACGATGACACAGTAACAATGATAATCATCACAATAAATACATGGTCATAACAAATCAGATCAAAATTAGAATCTGGTTAAAGGGTCTCAAAGAGTTGGTCAACTTTCTTCCAGTAGAAGTATCCCACTGATATCTGTCCTAAGTAATACTAACACATTAGCATACAGTACACTGAGTGCCTGTGGACAACTAGCACTGACTTCTCAATACAGTTTGAGAACACTGTAGACCTTGTAGAAAGCCAAAGATGGTAGTGTTTTTTTTTTTTTATTTCCCTCGGCATGTATAGGGCTAGTTGACCCATTGCCAGATCTTCTAAAACTTTGGTGTAGTTAAAGGACCTGTGTAAAAATGAAATTGAGTTACACCACAGTGACAGGACCAATTCTGTGCCTTGCTCAAGGGCAGCTCCATAGTTTCTGATAGAAGCAAAAGTGTCTGTAGCTCACTGCCATGGAGGTGAGTTAGCTCTCTGTCTCATCCATCCCTGCCCCCCCACACTTGAATTGTGGTACGACAGGAATCACTTCTCATTGTGCTGGTGCCTTTGAGGCCTCAGAGCGAGCACAGTGCTACAGCTCCGAGCTCCGAGCAAGTACCCAGTCAAGTGGAAGTGTTCTCTCCTAACATACAGATCAGACTCATGCCCTCATCAAAGGCTACTTCTCAACACAGTAATGGCTAGTGCAGTGAGCATAGCAATGTAACAAAGCTAATAAGATGATTCATGAGGGGGAGAATGATGACTAAAAGTGCTACAATGCTGAAAAAATAGAGCAGATATTACATGACAAAACCAAAAAAAGGCCACAGAGTTTCACATGTAGATAAATGTAACACTTTTAAACCTCTTAACACGCAATTTACCACTTTTGTTTCTCCTTAAGTAGCTTAGTACAAACAAAAATGAAAGAAGTGACAAAACAACAGCAACTGACAGAAAGCTGTCAGACATATTATCAAAATACATTTTATACTTCTGCCTTTCTTTTACATCTGTTCAATAAAGAGCGAATTTTGAGTATGTTATGTAACAATTATACTGTTTTATTATAGTGAATATTTATCATGACTTTACCAGCTGTCGCTTCCCGGTATGGTTACAGAAGCTCCTGAATGAGAAAACTATGTTGGGGCAGACAGAAGTAAAGCAGGAAGAATATGCAACGCCCAGTGGAAATCTCAACATGCCTGCTAAAAAAGTTCATGGGAAAGAGTTGAAAGGGCCTCCATTCACCAGTAAACCAGACATCATCCTCTTCAAGGTACCTCACTACTGGTTTTGTCAGTGTCACTCCTGAAAAAAATGTTTTTTGTTTAAACTGTCTACTTTTTTTTATAATAACACTGACATTACGGTAAATTATCTGTTTCAGGACTTTGAAGTGGGGAAAATATATAAGAAGAAAATCATCCTGACTAACATCAGCTACATCACTAACCACTGCAAGCTTCTCGGGGTCTCCGCCCATCTGAAGGATTTTATCTCTATCAAGTAAGATTTTTATGGTGTCCGTAGACAGGCGGTGGCAGTGGCCACGGTATAGTGCATGTGGGACAAGAAGTGGGCTAGAAATTAAGGCAAACATAAATAGCATTATTACAAACGTAAACACCATGATCTCTACAGAAACACAGTTATAAGACCTACAGCAACATACCCTGTTGTACACCCCACGTCACATCCACTTAAGTGTGATATTAAAATACTGTATTAGTCTAATATTAACACCAAATAGTAGTCACAACTATCACAACTAACAAGGAAGAAACAAAGTATACCATGTATTGTATCCCCAGCTATGATACAGCTTCTTACATTGGCCAAGATGAAAAAGTTTAAAAGAGCATACAATTTAGCCAGAGATATGCTTGCTCTGAAACAATTCATCTCGACTGATGAAAGTTTGGTCAGAGATTTTGTTGTGTTATGCTCTTAGCGGCGCCAGCGAGTAGAAATGAGGAGAGGGCTACAGACGTCCGCTAAACTCACAACATTCTAAGCCACAAAATGGTTTTTACGACTTGATTCACATATGCAGTATTATTGCCCAAGACCTGTAAAGACACTTGACACTGTGAAATTGGTATTCCCCTTTAATAGGCTGCTCAATTAAGAAGACCTTCAATTCTTCTATTGTTAAATAGAAAAATTAGTTCGGAAATCATCATCAAAAAGTGTCATCTACCTAGTTTGGATGGAGAAGCTGTTTCCCCCTGCCTCCAGGACTTTGTGCTAAGCTAGGCTACATGACCTTGGCCTAACTCTACGCACACAGATTAAATTGTCTAAATTAAATTAAATCTTTTTTTGGCTCTGGGCAAAGCTCACCGCACAAGAACCCAAACTGAATATCATCTGAGGATAATATAGAAATATTCATCTTACAGAGATAAAAGAGACACCAAATTTGGGTTCAAAGACAGAATTCTTAGAGGTGTTTACAACAACAAATGTTAAAGCCCCTATGAACTCACTGAGGGCTCTATCTTGCACTCAGCGCAATTGACTTTGTACACTGGCGCTTGTATAATTCCTATTTTGCACTCGACGCACATTGGAATTTCCCCTCCACCGACGCACATCCTTAAATTAGGGAATGAATTTGCGCTCTGGGGGGCGGTTCAGCGAAAAGAGGAGGCGTGTTCCGGCACAAACGTTCCCTGGTGCTATTTTGCTGTTTCAGAAAACAATTCCGCCACAGACCAGGAAAAACCTAGTCTAAAGTCAGTGGCGCTTATTCAGATGCTATTTTAAGGGCGCAGACTTGAGGGGATGCGCCTGTGAGGCAGCAGCAACATCGCCACCCGGTCAGGACGGGAATTAATACTTTGCCGCATCCCGGACAGCTCCCGCTCCAGCATGTCAAACCCGGTTTGCTGCAGGAACGGGTGGTCCTCCGGCGTGTAGTGGGTCTGGATCCTCTGCACCTTGGTGTTTGCGCTGCTCCCTCCTCAGCTGGCCTTTGCACTGCTCCCGAGGCCAGGGTCTTCTTCCTGCAAAGCTGCGTTACATTGTTTTGATTTATTGTTTGGCTGTGTTACATTTATTTCATGTCAATAATGTCACTTCTCGGTATTTCACGGCCCTGACGAGAACGCCGGTCTCCTCGGCTGTGAACCGCTCCTGGTGTGCGCCTGGCCAATCCGCCGTTATAATAGCAGTACGCCATGGAACAATCGCGCCTGCTTGTAAAGGGAATGTGAGATGATGCTCTGATTGGTTTATTGCACGTTACACCCAAACCACACCTATGACTAATGTAGCTACTTCAGACCAACCCATTTTAGATTTGCGCTGGGCGCAAGAGTCATTTATCCCGCCGGCATAATAGCAACAGCGCCCGAGATCCGCCCACAAAGCTACTTGCGTTTTGCGTTTGATACTTGCGCTTCAGATCGTCAAGATAGGGCCCTATATGTTGAACAGTTTCTGTTACCACATGGAAACATCTGCTCATGTATCACCACTTAGCAATTTAATACAACCACTTCTTGTCATTTTAAAAGACGATGGAGTGGACGTGAAAGCAAAGCCTTTCCTCCCACATATGGATCACCACGCTCACTGCTCCTCTGATGAGGCTCGGCTCAGTGAGTCAGTCTACGGCTCTGCTATCTCCTCTCTCTCAGCCTGCCAGCAGCCCACAGTCCGAGCAGAGAAGCATTGTTCTCCAGGTCACTCACTGTGTATCACTTTCCCATCAGTTCCCCTGTGACTTGATGTGGTTTCTTCGTCTCTCTTCCTTCTGCCTGACTGAGTGAGGAATCTCCCAGGCTAGTGCAGGGTCAGCTGGGAACTACTGATGCTGTTCTTGGGCCTTCGTGCCGGACCACTTGTCTGAACATATCACCTTCTAGTCCCCTGATCTTAACGCACATGTAGCAAACAAGCACTTTCCTACCAAACGGGGGAATGCACACATACCGTAGAGTGGACATTATACCCACTCAGCTCTCCAGCTCCCATCTCTCTTTCATGTTACTGAAACACAGAAGCACACCCAATCTCTCTTCAGATTTTTCATAATTATATATATTTTAAAGGTATGGTATAGATTAAAGGACTAGGTATTTGTATATTTTGTAACAATTGTATGAAAAGTTAAATTCATCAGCTATAAAGCACACTTTAGTCACTTGGTGACTTATTATGGGAAGAATGCTGACAATCTAACTAGGTAATCTTCTTGTGCCTTTTATAAGATAAGGATTTCTTCCACACTCACCCAGTGTGCTAAGTGCTGCCACCGGTGGGCATAAAATATATACAGAAGATACAGTTGTAGTATTAATGTTGTAAAACAACTTCCAGCAACCAGTGGAAGCACTGAGTGCTCAGCTGAGCACCACTCCAGTCAGCAACATTGACATTGTTTCTGTGTTTAGACCTAAAAAGTTAAACCCTAAAAGTCGTTTGGAATGATTACTCACCATCCAGTGACGGTAACAAATTTTATAAGCCACTGACTGACTCAAGTGTCAGGGGTTATGAAGATCCAGCACCATGATACATAGTAGTCCTAGATCAGGGTTGATGGTGGCTAATGTTAAAAACCGTAGATAGATATTGATGTATAACTGAGATTAAAGTAAAGTTAAAAAAAAGTAAATAGACTGTACCCATTCAATTCAACAGGTCATCTTATAATGACGTCTTTAAAACAACTGACTAAATAGATTCTTGGGAAATCAATGTGCCATTATCCTGTACTGTAATTGCTTTTGACTGCAGTGGCCATCGTTTAGCGTATGTTACATAGTCCCCCATTGAATTTTGTCATATTCCAGAAAGAAATACAGCAGATGCTGTCAGGTTGCCCGGATTTTTGCCGTTATATTGGGTTCATCATACAGTCTAGGTCTATTGTTCAAGTTTGTTTTGTTTACTGTATGTACGTACATCCCACTGATTATTCACACTATATTGGAACTAGTCGTGATCAATGTTTGTATGACTCACAAACAACAAACAATAAGTCATTTCTTGCCTCTCTTCACTGGATTCTAAATTTACCCACTATATGCTATATTGACCCACACTGGGTACATTTTTAACTCAGTGATTTGTAGTGTGTTCCCTTGCAACTTTCACAGAACAGAATGCTACTGTAAAGTGGACATATCCAACCATTGTAACTATAACCACAACAGGATAATGGATAGACTAGTATATGAATAATATACACTGAACAAAATTATAAATGCAACACTTTAGTTTTTGCCCCCATTCATCATGAGCTGAACTCAAAGATCTAAGACTTTCTCTATGTACACAAAAGGCATATTTCTCTCAAATATTGTTCACAAATCTGTCAAAATCTGTTAGTGAGCACTTCTCCTTTGCCGAGATAATCCGTCCACCTCACAGGTGTGGCATATCAAGATACTGATCAGACAGCATGGGTATTGCACAGGTGTGCCTTAGGCTGGCCACAATAAAAGGCCACTCGAAAATATGCAGTTCCATCACACAGCACAATGCCAGAGTTTTGAGGGAGCGTGCAATTGGCATGCTGACTGCAGGAATATCCACCAGAGCTGTTGCCCGTAAACTGAATGATCATTTCTCTACCAAAAGCCGTCTCCAAAGGTGTTTCAGAGAATTTGGCAGTACATCCAACCGGCCTCACAACCGCAGACCATGCGTAACCACACCAGCCCAGGACCTCTACATCCAGCATCTTCACCTCCAACATCGTCTGAGACCAGCCACCCGGACAACTGCTGCAACAATCGCTTTGCATAACCAAAGAATTTCTGCACAAAACGAGATCTTGAGGCCCATTGTTGTGCCATTCATCCACGACCATCACCTCATGTTGCAGCATGATAATGCACGGCCCCATGTTGCAAGGATTTGTACACAATTCCTGGAAGCTGAAGACATCCCAGTTCTTGCATGGCCAGCATACTCACCGGACATGTCACCCATTGAGCATGTTTGGGATGCTCTGAATCGGCGTATACGACAGTGTTTTCCAGGTCCTGCCAATATCCAGCAACTTCGCACAGCCATTGAGGAGGAGTGGACCAACATTCCACAGGCCACAATCAACAACCTGATCAACTCTATGCGAAGGTGTCTATTGTAGTAAGAAAAAGAACTGAATTATGCTTACACATGCTGACAGATTCACCTATTTCTGCCACTTTCCATATACACCCTCATTCTACTATTATGTGTCTGTTGTGTGTAAAACATGCAGATTATTCACACATTGATACCTACAATATTGAGATCAGTCGTGACAACTGTAAAGCCTTCATGGCTCACCCAGCTAAAAACATTAGCACAGCAGGAGAGAGAGAAACGTGAACCAGGAACACACTGGGCTTTCTCACACCAGCCCATGGTTCCCTGTACGCCCCCTGAATTTCTAAAAATGGCTTCCCATCCCCCTACACCCCCCCCGCCCAGCGTACATGCATTGTCTATTTGTGCCAGAATGGGTTCTGCTGTATCTTTTCACTGCTGGGACAAAAACCACAACAGCCCAGGCTTGCCAGACTTGGTGAAAAGCCATAGTATAGAAGCTGTGTTTTTACAATTAGTGTCACTTCCTAGCATGTATTGCAAATGACTGGCTGTGAGGAAGACACCCTTCTGTGGTCTGTATGCTCCAGAGCTGAGCTGTGAGATAAAACCTAGGACCATAGTAGAAATGGTGGTACTCGACAAAATCTGAGGGTGCGATCACACCTACAGTTTGTGTAGTTTGGTCCAAATCCAAATGCATTGTTTCATTTTGCATCCTGTAGAAGTTCATCAATGACAAAACTGTTTAGGGAGCATGCAAATTCAAAAAGAAGGAAAAGGAAGTGAACTGAAATTAAACTGGATGTTTTTATCTGCTACAGTGTGTAGTTGTAGACCAAAACAGACCTGTGGTAAAGCTAAACCCAAGGTGCTTTATTTTTCTAAAAAGTGATCTGCTTAGAAAGGGACCCAAAGATAATTAGAACCAATCCAAAATGCGGTCAACCAAAACAGAAAACCCATTTAAATATAGCGAGAACACCAACACTGGCAGCAGCATGATGCGCTACCAATTAACAAGCAGTTCAAAAAGAGTAACAATACATCTCAGCTTCCCTGCACTTTATCTCCTGTGATGATGCAGCAGCACACAATCAGAGCTAATAGCGATACACCTTAGATACACTTGGATGTTTAGCATATCGATACACAGACCCAAGACCTGCAGCAATATAAAACCATATAAAACCATACCTGGACCCAGTCGGGTCCTGTGTCTGGTCTTGGTTACTAGAAATCAAAATGACCTGAGAAGACCTCTACATTACAGATCTGAAATTAAATGGCATTCCCTGTGTTGTCTTTAAAAAAAAAAATACAAGGATCCCAAGGCGATTATATATTTTGCTACTTCCTAAACTATTTTCATGAAGCTGTAGCCGTCACCATACTATAATTGACTAACAGTGACAGTGACTAACATTCAGACAGCACCCTGAAGCTAGAATTATGCTTCTCTGAAGATGCATATAAACAAATTCATTTGAACCTATGCAGAGATGGGTGCTCAGTATGGGTCACAGAGGCTTGCAGAGGAACCAGTGCGCCAGTTGATGTCCACATCACCAAATCTCTACACAGTGCGCTGCTTTGCAACCCCATTGGTTATTTACCTCCTGTAGGGAGATGGGTTTGAAAAAAAGATGAAAACAAATGTAAACAAACTAATCAAAGTATAAAAGCAAAACATCGGCATGTTAATAGGTTCACAATAACAAGGTTAACGTGCTGGTTAGCAGGATATATTAGCCATTTGCTAATTAGCACTAAACAAAATATAAACCTGAGGCTGATTAGTTTTGTAGGTATTTTAGTCATAAAGATTGCATTTGAATACAGCTCAGTTAAGACAAACTACGGTGGCCACGAAACTTGCAAAAAATGCAAAAGAGCCAGTTTGTCTGTTCCGGGCTACTGTAGACCCTCCGTGGAATGGGACACCTTTCTGCCAGTAGATCTTCCTAAATGTTACACCAATGGATCAGTCAAAACCATAGATAGATGTCATATCCTATAAGAGCCAGTGAATTTCTGAGAAGAGATTTTACTTCTGTGAAACAACAGTAATATATATATAGATCATCAGTTTTCATGCTTCACTGAGAAGACATTTCTTCACTAGAAATGGTTATGAGTTTGAAAGTGTTTTAGCTCTGCTGACCTGAATAATGAACTGAGAGTGCTTATTGATTTAGTGTAGGAGAAGGCAATGGGGTGTGGCCAGAATGTACAATAGAACACAGGGCATAGTCACTATTACTGTACAGCCAGTCTCAGCTTCATTACTTCAGTCTACTGCAATGGATATACTGTACGGTATGGCCTCATTTGCAGCACTTTATATAGGGCTCTAGCAGGCTTTTTCAAACACTGCCACACAGCATTTAATCCCAAGTGAACTGTCCTATTTTCTTCACGTGTAGTTTCATACCACCTGGCTTGAAGATAGGAAAGGCGAATGTTACCAGTAATGACATAAATTAGCCAAAGAAAACAAACACCAGCATTACCCAACCAGGAGGAATCCTTTCATACACTTCCAGGTCACAGTGGTGAGCTGGACAGCAGCTTCAGCCAGTCCGCTCCAAGTTCGTCACCTGACAGCTGGACCAATAACTTTAAACAACTGGCTCAAAGCCAAACACAATGGTCCATTGCCTGCTGTTGTTGATGATAGTATGGATAGATTGCTAATTATGTTGTAGTTTTACTGTTTGTCAAGGCTCTTCAGACCATGTTTCAGAAGAGGCTGTTTTTAATTTTGAAAATTCATTGTGGCTATAGAAAACATCTTTGTTTAGTGGGATGTAGGACTGATCATCTCTTTGTATTTTTAACCATCTACTTCATGACCATTTACCAATGAAGTGTTGTGTTGTGTACATTTTTACCTAACTAATGTAGCTACTAACCCATCATGTCCACTGGGTCACGTTGCAGTGGCACAATGGCTCTGTCATGTCTCCATTGCAGTTCTATCTATTGTTTAGCAGATTCAACTAATATGCATTATTTTAAATTTTTCAAAAGAGAATAAAACCATTTTGGACATATGTGTGTAAACAGTGTCAAGTCTTCAGTTGTCAGGGGAGGGGACGTGGTTTCAATCAAACATGCCAGAGTGGGAAAAATAAATAAAAGTTCAATTTCTTCTGATTGAGTTCTTAGGAAAAAAATCATTTCATTTTCACTTAGACTGCCTAATTATGCTCATTGTTGCATGTTTGTAACTTTTTGTTTATCCGTTGAATTCTGAGTCTCTTCCCTGTGTCTCTGGCTGGCTGCCTGCTGTATTCATATTGATTGGCCCTCTTCTTGTGTCTCTGGAAGGGCAGCACGTTATCAAGCTCCTCAGGGCAGTAGTGGGGTTGGTGTGAACATGTGCTCGGAGATACACATGTTGCTTTGAAATAGCTCACAGTCTTCATGTTTCTTTTCCCATCTGTAAATAAACCTTTGATTTCTGCTATAGTTTACAGTGCGATATGATACAATTTGACTGTGAAATAGTTTCCGAGCATTCTGTTCCACGCTGCAGTGTTTTCATATATAACAATAACTCTTTCTCTTCTTTCTTTTCTGTGCCATGCTAACTGAGCATCAGGTTGACTTTTGGCCACAGCCATGTCTTCTGCTTATCTACTCTGCTCTCACGAGATTCATCATACTATTCCAGCATTTCATCTAGAGCTGCTAATCTTTTGTTGAATACAGCATATTTCCTACTGTGTTGCTTTAAAACCAAAATACTGGATGTACAAACACAAACACTGGTTTTACATAGTATGGCTCATCAGCAATATGTCTATTAAATATTTTACATTGAGCAGCTAAATAACCATAGGAACAGCACTCTGTGTTCCATATGCGGTAATGCATTTTAAAATGAATTCTTCTTACATAATTCTTACTCATAACTCATTGTGATTTGTGTTTCAGCTTTGAGCCTCCTGGTTCTTTATCTACTGGGATGTCTTGTGACATGCAGGCAGTTTTTCAACCTATGGTTAGTATTATCAGCCCTCTTTTTAGACATCTACAATGCAGTAGTCTCAGATCTGCTAAAAAAGAAGAAGGTGGTTTTAACTACTTTTGAGTCTGAATGTAACAATTTAGAATGAAGTGTGATACAGACTTTTGTCTCTGTACTTCCGTCATGCTCATTAATATTATTCTACAATTCATATAAATTTACGTGTAGGAATTACATCAAACATTTATTCTGAGTTAGGTGTGCGATAGCCAGCGCTGTTATGAAGCATTACATTGTAGCATTATGTAATCCTTGCAGATCAACGAGGACCTGGAAGGAGAGGTCCAGTTTGCATCAGCAGTGGGTCCCTTCTCTGTGCCCGTCAGATGCACCATAAAGAAATGTGATGTGAGTTGTGAAAAAAGTTTTGAAAGGACAGTTTTTTTCTTGCTATTCATACATGTTGTTGGTAACATATAAGTATACACCAATCAGCGATGATAATGTTATGGCTGACTGGTAACAAACATAACAACATGGATTTTGTTGGCCTACATAGTTGTAGCTTTAGGTTGCTAATATTCTAGTAATAATGACATTAGACTAACAGGAACAATAATTATTGAATAAATATATAATTGATCACACTACAGAAGAACAACACTGACTGGTTATCTATCCCAGCATAACAATCTAATTAAACTTTATATCTTATTTAATCAATTCATGTATGTATTAATGTAGGTATTAATGTATGTAAAACTATGTACTCAAGCTGGCAGCTCTCCGCTGCTGATGCTAATTACTGTTTGTCAATGTATCCTATTTCTAGCTGGAGGTTGACAGCCAGTTCCTCGACTTTGGTTTGCATGTAGTAGGCCAGACTATTTCACGGACTATGACCTTGACCAACAAGGGTGCACTGGCCACCCACTTCAGCTTGGACACCTCCACATGTCTCAGTCCAGAAACTAGCCAGGTCCAGATGCCATCCCAAGTCTTTGTCAACACATACCAGGTCAGACTGCAGTAGATTTTCTGTGTTGGATGTTGAATTTACAGCATACATGTAGTCAATTCACTTTAGTTGGTCTAAAGACAGTCATGTGAATAAACTATCTTGTATAAAGTCAAACTAATATGTTGTTGGCTGACAGCAGATAAGCGGTCAAAACACAACATGTGACAACCAGAGGAGCTCTGCATCCATGGGCACGGATGAACCAAAGCAAGAGAGTCAGGAGCTCTTTGAGGCATTGCAGCAAGAGCAACCAGGTAAAGCTATTATATATACATATATATATGCACACACGCACCAACTGATTATATAATTATTTAATAAATAACATGTTTAAATATGTTTTTAAATAACATTATTAATTTAAAACATGTACTTGCATCTTTAAGACTGAGACAGATTTGGTAGTGTCCTTTCCGTTTTCCAACTGGCCATAGTATACCTGCTGTATACAGACGACTGGCACAGGCACAGTCACAGTGAATACCTGAGGTCTGGCAGTAGGGCTGCATGATATGGAAAAAACATCACACATTTAATTTTCACTGAAGAAAAACTATTAAAATCATGATAATGTGAAACTCTTGGGGTTCTGTAGCAAACACGTGTTTTTCTTAAATCTGAAGAACAAGATTTCTAGGCCAGGGCATCTCTTCAGAACTACAGTATGTCAGTATAATGCTCTATAAACAGATCCATTATTCTGCTTTAGCTGCAAGAAGCAAATATTGTAGGACAAAAATGAAATACACTGACAGTGAATATTTTTTATAAACATTTTGCTGTCATGTTACTATACTAAACATATTAGCAGTGCAGATTACTTGTATTTGAACTTGATTTGTAGGAGACAGCGTTGCCCTCTGAAATACAGCAAGTGAGGGCTGACAAAAACTCCCCACTGTGGACGATTGTTCTCATCTTTGAATTCCTGTTAGGACATTTGGTCCTTGTAAGAACAAAAATAAAAGAACACACACAGAAAGCGAAGGATTCACCTTGCTCTTACAGCTGGGGACAAGGAGGTATCTTTTCTTTGATGTTCTGTCAGATCTGAAGTCTTCATCGCTGCACTCAGCATTTTCCTCCACTGATGTTTCGATAAGCTGTTCAGTCTTTTGCCTCTGCTCTGCTGGCTTTGGAAAAGACTGAGTCCATTTTTTTCTTATTCACTATTGTTGGAAAACGCTGGGCCACATTTTTAGGCTGCTGACAGTAGTTTATATTTTGTGCCTGTGTTTGTTTTTTATATCAACAGTGTCTCTTGAACTGGTGTCAAAGAAGAAGAAGTGCTGCTTTGCATGGGGTTCCGATGAGCTACTGTATCTGCATATCCCTTACTCATATGTACAGGACACTATTTGAAGTGCACATTCATACTCCCAGTAGGATTAGCCAATTTTAGTGATCCTCCTGAGCTTTACCTTAGAGCCACCCTAGAGCGACACATTTTGCCTTATAAAATAATGGGGTTCACAGTGTTTTCTTAGGGTTGTATTTGGTGGATTCTCAACTTGTCAGGTCAGGTTGCCCGCTCAACCGCTCAACAGTTAAAATGAAGAGTTTTGCTTTTTGTCTGTGTGGCAGTGTCAGAGGCTTCAGCTACAGGTCCAGAAGCTCTTCCCGAGGCATGTGTCTCCACTGATGTGGATGCCCAGACGGACCAGGGCCACTCAGACCCCGGGGACATAAGGCTAGGAAATGTAAGTGTTAGCTCATATTGCAAATACTCAGTTACGTATGTCTTACAGGAGCACAATTACTCATCTACCGTCATCACCAGGGCAAAATTATTATTTGTCTGCTGGTGTGGCTATAAACTGATGAAGACAACATGTAAGGGATCACCAAAATCATTTAGGATCAGCATCCCCACCCCGTTTCTAGCTGTTGATATGAAAATGGTCATATTTAAAGATAGCACAACTAACTGCTTTTGATAGCTCTGAACCAAAAATATCAATATCAGCCCATGAAACTGGAGTAGCAGAGAGATACTTTTCTGTTTCTGAAGAGACTATTATATCTGTCTGGAGAACACTCTCTGCCTCTCTGTCTTGTTTTTAGCACTGATGCTGTGTGTGCCTTGTGGCCCATGTGAAGTTCTGGAGTTGTTCAGGGTTCATTACGTCTCTCTGGTGGGGGGCTAATGGTGCATTGCCTCTCCCTCTGTGCTTCTTATGGCTGTGTGTATTGCATGCGCCTGCATGCCCGCGGCTCGATTATTGTCATTTTGACTGATACTTTCACATTGTGTGGTTGAAGGCTGGTGTCTTAAATGGCAGATTATCCATCAAGCTATTGTGGTCCCACAATATTGAGTCGGTTGCAGCATGAATGGCTTACTCCTCTCTTTTGTTTTTTATTATTGCTCTCACCGCTTTTCACTCTACTTTGATTGCATGCCATTTGAAGTTACACATCTGAGATTTCAGCTTCCCCAGCATGGATGGAAATGGTTATTTGTAATGAGGTAAAAAGGTTAAACTCAAGAAGCTCAGTGAAAATATGTAGAGGTTACACACTGATTTTACATTTAGTGGGAGCACCTGATGTTCATTTTTAAAGTTCATTTTACATTTCTTTTGTAGAATTCTTTCTCCTTAAAGATCCAGGACTATCAAAAATATATTAAAAAATCAAATGTTTGCTTGTCCTGTTTGACGTACCTTCCTTCAGTTTAGAGAGGGGGAGATTGGACCTTTTCAAAGCATCAAACTGGAAGTTTTATTCACTCCAACCATTCCAGGAGAGGCCGAACTGGACTTCCACATCAAATTCTCAGACTTAACCAGCAAACCAGTAAGATATAACATGTTTACTATCTTTTGGATGTTATAAGTAACAAACAAGATAAGGAAAGTAGTCCTAAAAGTATACAGAGATTAGTTAGTTTTATTCATGTCAGTGTTATTTCATGTTAACCATTCCTGATTAAAGGCATGTTGATACAAACAGATACCCATCCAGGTGAGGGCTGTGGCAGTCAGCATCCCTGTATGGGTGGTCCAGCCCAGCCTTGACCTGAAGATCTGCATGTTTGACCGCCTCTATCAAGACAGTATCATGGTCCAAAGCAGGTGGGTCCAAAAGATGGCTGACAGCTTTGTTATATATGTAAACCTGCTCTGGATACAGAAATGTTCTTGAGTACCTGCACTCTGGCACTAAAAATTTAATTTAGGCTCACAATCGAATGTAATACACAAGAGAGGGACCTAAGTGAATCCACACAGCAACACACTGATTGTGTCACTGATTTAAGTTTGTACTAACTACTTACAAACCCTCCTATTTGTTAATGAAGGAAAACAAGAAATCCCTACAGTACATACCCTACAGTCATAAATAACAAATTTGTCAAATAAAAGATGAATTTTTTGTCTTGAAGTAAATTAAGATGCAATAAAACACAAGCAAGCAAACAGTTAACCGCCATCCTTGTTAGCTTTCTGTCTTGCCAACAGTAACTCAATGGAGTAATACACCAGAGATACTTAAACAATCCCTCTGTCTCTATAATTGAATAAAACTAGTTTTCCAACTACCTTGTTTGAACAGGCAACACATCAAATTAAGGGATGTGAGATGTCACTTATTACCATATTAGAGTCACAAATCAACATTGGTTCAAGGACAAAAATGGAGTGCCAAGATACTGTATAACACCTTATTTGATTAGATTTCAAGGTGATGTGCATGTTGCAATTAAAAACACTAGGTGTCTTTAATGTGAAAGGACACTTCACACCGAACACAAGAACCCTTCATTTTACAGGTCCCTTGGTTCCCTAATAATTAATCAAAATGTCTTTGTTACTTGGATCTTTCTAATTATAAAGAAACTGGAATTGGTACACTTGAGTGCCACCTAATTTATTTCAGTTTGTAAAAATGGAACCGGGGATATAGTAGTTACATTATGAAAGTGAACAGTTTGATCGAGTTTTGATTTTTATTTCAAATCAAACTTTATATTTTTCATGTTTATCTGTTACATACAAGTACTAAGAAATGACAACTATATACTGTCTAGGAAATTATTAGGAAACTAATGTTCCCATGAAATAAAGTTATCTTTGCAATCAATTCAGTGTTTGTAATCATGCAAAAGGTGAGTCATGTTAACCTGCATGAACAATGACCACAAGCAACAGAATGTTGGGAGTGGTCTCGTTTCAGGGTGAACTGTGTTTTTCATGTACAGTTTGAGCAGATTGTCCACAACCACACACATATAAATAAATTCCTTTCCCCAAAGGAAACAGCACAGTATTCACAAGCATTTCATTTGTCCAGGACTAGTTTCAGCTTTTACAGGACAATTTACTTACATTTGTCTTTACAGGTCAACACTGTATAAGAATAACTGACATGACAGATTCAGACTACTCAGGTAGTCTCAGTTAACAGTGTCATTATGACAATAATGATGGCAATCAATGATGGCTTTTAAAAAGACAAAATAGCTGCTGTATGATTTTGTGGAAGAATCTTGTCACAAACAAATGTGTGCCTGCATATGCCAAACAAACAAATTGTATTGGCAAAGGGGAAAAGCAGTCACAAATCCAAGCTTAGAAGAGAAAAAGAAGCAAAAATAACTGCGGTCTCTCCGTTGTTTTAGCTAACAAGTCTTGAACCAACACATCTCGGGGTGATGTGCTTGTATCTGGTGCGTTGTATTTTTTAGTCAACAGATGTAAACGTCTTCTATCCCCATAGTAATAGCAACAGTTCTGAGGTTGTTCAAAGGCAAAAGATCTTAAGGTCTTAATAGTCATATATTGTTGAATGTTGTGATTTTGTCCCTTATGACTTTGATTCTACCCCAATTTATGATGTCAAAGTACCTCTTGGGGCCTCTCTGTTCCCTCCCTAACCCTAAAATAAATAAATAAATAAAAACATTACAGGCACAGACCAGCTTAAGCAGTGAGTGTAATAAATATTTTAGGCAACACCTTCACTATTAAGTCATGTTGAAAACAATGTTGAAAAGTCAGAACCTGTAGGCAAACTAAAAGCATGACACATGACACGTTAAACAAACTTTCGGTCTGTGTAACACACATTATGAACCAATCTCATAGTCAGTTATGCAGCATGTGCATATTTAGCAGTCTATTATAAAGTCATTGTGAATCTTAATGCACACCTGGTACAAAGGTGCTTAGGAGAGTCAAGTCATGCAAAAGAAGAAAGTGAACCCCCACACACTGTCAGCACTTTTCAGAAGTTTACTGATAAAGTAGTGCTTCAGTCATAGACCTTTACCCAGGCATTCAACTCACAATGTGAAACAATCTTTCTACTCAAGCTGCAACAACCAATCAAGGGTCAGTATTTACTGAGAGGGGCATTAAAATGAACTAAAATTGTAGTATTTAAGAGGTTGTATAAAACCCCTCAGCCCAAGTGATTGGTGCATGTAATATTTCCATTTTATTCGTTGTCATGCTCAGAAACATCCTTGGAAAAGAGTTTAGAAAGTGGCATGGACTGCTGATGTAGCGTGCTGGCTTATCTGCTGAATGCAATACTAAAACTCCGTTCCATACTCAGTCTCTGCCAGAACGGGCATTTTCACAGAAAAACGGCTCATGGAAATCCCTTAAAATTGACAGGGCCAGCTTACTTTTCAGCTGGTCCAACAAAAAACTCTCCGCCTAACCACGCTCAGAGCCCAGAGCACGCGGACGTGATAAAATAGAGACGTATTAGCTGATAAATGTTCCCTAAACAAAGGATGATGTAAGGGACCAAGCGGTAAGCTCACATGCCCACAATCCTCTTTGGTCCATACAATTGCACGGAATAAAAGTAAATCCTTTATGATTATGGATGTGATACATTATGATGCACACACAAGGTTAAGAATACACAGGGGGCAGTAACGTCTGCAGGCGTGTGGTCCACCACCTAGCCAGTCACTGTGTCACATCATGTGGGGGAGGGAGTGCATATGTGGGGGTGGGGGATTTGTGACAACTGCCATCTGGTGCGCTGACACACCAGCACATGTGACAACGTGACGATGACAGCATCAGTGTGAACGGCAGTAAAAAAGAAAATGTTAACACTTGCACCAGCAAACCATGCAATATGTCACTCTTGCCTCCAAGACAGTAATTTGAAACACAAAATAGCTTGGCAGGCTTTTTGGGGAAACAATAAGAGAGCTGCTGCTTTCATCATGCAATTTGTCACTTTTTCCTTTGAGTAGATGAGTAGATATCCCACAAGTCCTCCTTAGTTTGTGACAGATTTTTTAAAGAGAACAGCACAAAGCATAATTGAATATGTCTCTCTTGTCTGTGAGCCAGTGATTTGAATATTACTCCTACTAATTGAAAGAATTTTTAGGAGGCTTTAAAATGTGCAGTGTTTGACTTTTGCTTGTGAGCCAGTCATTGGAGTATTGTGCAGACAGTTGGCAGAGTTTTTCTTTTTAGGAACAGTTTTTTTTATTTTATTTTTTTCAAACACTCAGCCTGGACTTTCAAATCCTCTCCACTGTCACCTGCTGGGGAGCTGAGCATTCCGCCCAAACTCAGGACATAAAAAACACACAAACAACCTGCCTTTTTTTCCTTCACAAAGCTTTGCAATGTACTGTAATATGCCTACTATACCTCGTCTTAGTCCAACCTGGGTACCTTACTGTTTGGCCGGTTCCTGTTTTTATTCTAGGGGAATAGAAACATAGAAACCTGTTATTTCAGCTGGTTATTTTGAAATATGTTATATGGTATAAACCAGATAGTGCTGCATTATGGGGACAGTTGCCTAGAACCCTTGCCATGAAGGCTTGGTATCCCATGAGGCTTTGCAGTTCATGTGGAGAAGGCAAGCGCAGCCACCTGGCCCTTTCAAGAAAGGGCAGAGGCACTGCTGTAGCTGTGGGCACTCAGAGTCCAGGCACTCAGTGATTCCGCTCTGCTTGTAGAACCAGCATGAGCCACTTCTCTCCAACATGACCCAACACACTTGCCACCTCAATGATTATTGGGTGTGTCATTATCAATGTTGCTCATTTACCTAACTTTTTGAGAAATAGTTTTTTCTCCCAAAGATTTTTTTGTGGCATTTTGCCTTTATGTGGCAGTCGACAGTGTAGAGACAGATAGGAAACATGGGGAAAGAAAAGGGTGAGATATGCAGCAAAGGTTGCCATCTAGATGAATGTGTGTCGCAGTAAACTGCCTCAAACTAGCTGGGTAAAGCAATCACATCAATCTCAAGTTCTAGTGATATTTTATTTTAAACGAACAATATTGATAAATAAATACGGTGTAATCATGGCGTGGACGTTAGTTAAACCAGCAGCACACGGACAAGTGAGACATGTGTGAATTGTATAGTCCACAAAAATTTAACCGAACCCACTTATTGTCTTATTCATATCTTTTTTAAGAGACTACATGGCAGAAATTACACCCAAATATTTGTAATTGTTAGGGCTGTCAACAAGAAGCTAGTCTTGTTGAAAACAGGGAATAAATAACTTCCAACTCACACTTACAAATTAACTCGACTACAAACTTGCTCCTTTTCCTCTTTTTCATGCCTCTTCTGTCCGTGCCTGAACCCGCCGTGTCTTTATCCCCAGAGTCATAGTCCTGGTTTGAGCCACTATGGCCATTACATGCTCTCCTCTGCTCGGGTTTTGTCGCTCGGCCCCACTCCTTGGCAGTATTCCCCGCTGGGTAACCCCTCTCCTACATGTGTTTAAACTCCCCCTGTCCTTTGAGCTCCCATTCTGGGTAACGTCAGCTAATAGGAGCACCGGTAAGTGACTGTGTGTTATAAGAGAAAAGGTCCGTGCTGCAACAATCCCCTGACACTTCCGTCGTGGTGACAAGGCGCAGCTCCCGAGCAGAGTTTAACGTTGTTGTCATTTTCTGCTACTATCAGACTAATGAAAGTGCATCGACTAATATTCTTCATATCGACTAAGTCGACTATTAGGGGGCAGCCCTGGTAATAATGTAATTGTTGAACATCCCATTCTGAAACCATAAGCATTAATCCCCTGCTACAACAGCCTCCACTCTTCTGAGAGTGCTATCCACAAGATTTTGGAGCCTGACTGCAGTTATTTGCTACCCATTTCTTCTGTGTTAAAATCCGCTTTTATGTTGACCCATCCACACTCCACCCTACAGGGACTTTGTTGCGCTACAATAATGTCACCTGACTTTTCTTTGCTTAGAATGACAGCATATAAAGTCTAAGAAAATCTTCTTATTGAGCCATTTTAGAATTTAACTTGAACAAGGAATTGACAAAGAAATTGTTTTGAAAATTCCCTGAATTACAGAACTCAGCATTTATATTGTAAATCTACAACCAAGTGAAACAAATATATTAGTTTGATGTGAAGGTTACACAATCAGTATTACAATGTTCTTCACCCAAAGGAAGCAAATTATGTGAATTGCTGTAAACTTACCTTTAAATCATTAAACATAAATAAACTGGTCACATGTTGCCAGTAACAAAAGACAGGATGAGCTAAATGCCCCTGTTAATTAAAATGCCTAATTACCCTAAATGATCATGTATCCATGAATATTCCTCTGAGAGTGATTTGAAGGTTATCATTTGGCCGGAATTAAGATAGAGACTTAATATCCCCCAAGTGTCCCTGAGAGTCCTTGCCTCGGGGAAACAACCATCTGGTTGACCTCGCTTTTTAAAGTGGGTCACTTCGTTTGAGACGGGAATCGAAAAATGAAGGGTCCCTCAGTCTATTTGGCCACAGCTCGCCTATTACTCACCTTTGTATCTTTGAGGATGAAAGCAGACATAACTAAAATATTATCACTGTATATGCATATCACCTCTAGCACACAGTTTTTTTTCAGCGTGTTTGTACTGTCATCATTTTATGAAGGTGTGTGAGTGTGGGCTGTGGTTGAATGTGTTTGAGAATTCCCAAGGTGAAGAGCCATTTATATCACAAGCCTCAGTTATAACTGCCTCAGCTATAACTGAGGCTTGTTGCCACAGGCACAACCATCTGTTGGAGCTCCTGGAAATTAGGTCACCTAAAAGATATGGACTTGGGGTACATCACTCCATACAAGCCCGTTTCTGTAGGTGTCACTCAAACAAAAATCGTTTCTCTGTCCTTGCTGAGTCCTTGAGGCGTGAGAGATATGCCGTGCGGGGTCCACTGGACATAGCACCTGGAATATATATTTTTAGTTGTTGATGTCATAAAATTAACATGTTTACCTAATTGCTATTGCTGTGTTGTCTTTGTGTATTTCATGATATCTGAAAAATTACACCTGTAAATGTCAACCTACAGGCGTAGCCATGCTACTGATGGATTCAAGTTATTGTATTGCATGACAGGGATTTTGTATAGAAGACGGTATAAGCAAACCCAAATCCAAAAACTACATGTCATCAAATTACCCTTGCACTTAACACATTATACGGCCTGCTCCAAAGAATGCCATCACTCTGATTGGCCCAACCCCGTATCCAAAAATACTGCAGCACACGATTCACGTCAAACATCAGTAATGCAGGAAGAAGGGTGCCCTGTGGGGATAGGGATGTGGAGTATTAAACTTTAATGCCAGAGACTGGAGTTTGTGCCCCTATCCCTAACCTTGACTAAACCTAACTGATTTTAACCACAATTTGCCACAACCCAAATAGAACCCAGGTTCTACAACCAACATCTGCACAACCCCTGTGTGTCAAAATTTTGCTTTGCAGAATTGCCCTGTATCAATAGCAATAGGCTTGGATTAAACAAAGGGGGTTTGTTATTTTCACATAACTGCACAGCTGTTGAGTATCCTCATCACAGCTTTAAATTAACTCACACATTACAATTTTAATTCTGTTGAAACTAATGGCTATTGCATTGCAGCAGCTTTATCCACTTGTAGGAAAGTTAACCCAACGCTGATGTGCCATAACAATTTCAAACAATAATTATACAGCGTTGACCTCTTTAGCCAGTGAACATGGCATTAAATTTGGTAATCCAATTGCAGTTCCACATGGTGACACCTGTAAAGGCAGATTTTCCTTCATGGGGATTCTTCCTGTGCATTATTGCCTGTGCAATACTGTCTGTGCATTATTTTTCAATAACAGAACAGATCCCCCATTGTTAGAATAATGCACTATTATGCTAATGAAACCATATTTTTTTTCCTGACAGGGCCAGCACAGCCTTGAAGCTGACCTTTGAGGTGTGCCTGGAAATGAGGAAACACATGGAGATCGTACCAAAGACAGGCTTCATACAGGCTCAGTCAAGCTTTAATGCCCAACTCAAGTTCCTTCCGAGGTAAGGAAGGACACACAGAGGATGCAATTATAATGGAATCACTGGAGCATTCATAATCTTATTTTAGACTGTAAGCTTGTTAAGATCCTATCAACCTTCTATAAAAGTGAAAACTATTTCACTCCATAGGAGATTTGTCATATGTATTGATTCAGGCTTGCAGGTTTGTGACTTCCCAGAACTCTGCTTCTTCAACAAAGGAGAAACCTACAGTTTTCTTGTTGGACAGGAATATACTATAGATTGTATACAATGCACACAGAAATATCTTGTTTAAGGGCTCTTGGAAATAGATTGAAGTGTTAGAAGTATACAATAAACCAGTGTACCAGTACACCAGGACCGACTTTAAAGGATTCTGGTTCATTACAATCTGAGTTTAGCCATTTTTGCCGTTGTTTCTATCAGTGATAATATCATTGTACTCAACTAGTTAATTGATGTTACCTGGAAATGCAGAAGCATTTCTTAAAAAGAAGTCAAACAGGGCAAGAAACACAAGCAGTCATAGGATCAGACAGGTTTACTTTATCTGGGAAAGAAGACAAACGCAAAAGGTAAACACACCAACTTACAACTATGAGCTCTTGGTGCGCTTTGGTTTTACCTTGAAAAAAATTGATTTAACTAATCTGGCTCGTCGTCTGACACTTAACATTTTGTCACTACATGTCAGTGTGTTCCCAGATCTCAGCAATTACTTTTGTGAATACAGTAAAAAAATGGCCCAAGTTATAAAAACACAGAATTTTCCCTTAAAGGTAGCAGGAGGGGTCTTCACACACTATCCAATTTTTGATAAAAGAACTGTATAATATTTTATAAAATCTGTTATGCTACAAAGCCTGTATGAGCTTCCCTTATTGTTATAGGCAAGCTGTGGAGTCTTACTGGGGTACAAATGGAAACAATCTATAGCCAGTCAACACTCAGCGGGTATAAAAGAGTTGCTCAACACACCTGCACTCTGAGCGCAATGGTAATGGTTTCTAATGACTTTGAAGGACGTGCTAATTCTTTCTACAACAATACACACTCTATATTTAGATGGAGAGGCAGGAGTTGAACTGCGATTTGAATGCCAGGAGAGCGGACAGGGGACCCCCAGGGCAAATATGAGAGGCGTTCAGTATGTAAAAACTTAGTGTGGGCGCTAGTATTCTTCTGCCCACCCTCCTTTTTTTCCTTCACACTCCAACGGCTTTGTGTACTGCTAACTGAGAGAATATTGATGGAAAATAATAATAACAGGACGATATTATTTGTCACACACAAGAAAGGTTTGGGGCATGCACCGGTCATCGTTCAGCCAGGGGGCAGAAGGGGGAAGTGGGAAAATGTCAGTAATCTGCCTTAGTGAATCAGCAGAGGTTTTAATGCGAGGATTAGAGTACAGCATTACTCGTGCTGCTGCTGAGATGGTGCAGCATTCACAAGCACTAACACAGCTACAGCCACCACCCCCTCCTTACTCCCTATGTATCACACTTTTCTCTCTGTCTCTCTCTTTCGCTTCTGTGCTGTCTTCTCCCACTCTCTCACACATACTTCTCTTTTTCTTGGCCTCTCACCTCTGTGCTTAACTATACTTCTCTCTCTTTGGCTCTCTCAATCTCTGCAGTCCTATATCTCTGTGCTCCTTCACTTCCCCTCTAACTCTACATCTATTCTGCCTCTCTCTGTTATTCTCAAACTCCCTCTATGTATTCACCATCCACCACTGCTTATATGCTGGCCTTGATTCTGCTTACATAACCTTTGGCACCAGACCCAGTTCCCTGTGCTCTCAATGACATCGCTGTTGTTCTTAAAGGATAATTCCAGTTTAATACAACTTGGATCTTACTTAGCAATCAGCTCTATCGATTATGATAACATTAAACTCACCAAGTGAATTGCTGGGATCTGAGACATCACCAAAAATCAGTGCAGCAGTAGCCTGATGAACTGAATTGCCATTCCATTTCACTTCATTATTTAGTCTGACATTGTGTTCATATGAGCCAATCAATTTTTGTTTGGGAGGGGATTGTTTTTTTTTTTGTCCTAACAATGTAATGTATCTGTTCCGCCAGCTTTAGCAGTAGCTTGAAGCATTTACCGAAGAGACAAAGAAATATGACTGCAAGGGGAATTGAAAGGAATATGCCTGTAAATGACTTCTAAAAGCCCTATTTATCCTAACTTTAACATTGTTACTAGTGGCACGTTTTTATGTAATGATACTACTTCCTTTGAACGTCTTCACAACCTCTTCAGGCTATACGAGGGGACTGGTCTCTGAGTGATGCTCTCTTCTGCTAAAATTAATGTGTGTACTTCTCGTCAACTGACAAACTTATACATTTCAAACTTAATAAAACTTAATAAACATAATGTTTATTTACCTCCCAAACAAGCTTTCTAGTGAAACTTACTTCACCTACTCTTTTTTATTTAAATTACTACTGGTACTGTCGGCAGTGTGCTGGCATTACTTGGTTTTAGAGCTACTCTGTTTGATTTATTACATAAACAAATACTTTGTCACCTGAAATTATTGCTATTGATTGATGATTCTTCTTTGGCATTAGTAGTAATAGTAATAGTTCTTGCCCCATTGGACTTGTGCCTGTGATATATTATTGCTCATTCGAGTCATGTTTCATGTTTTTCTGAAAGATTAATCCCTGAGTTGTTTTTAAAAAATCCAAACCAACACCTATCTTGATGATATTTCCTGAATTTTGAAAGACTCCTCTAACCATTTGGGAGAAAACACATTCCACAAGCTGCACAGTAAAAGTAATTGATATAGACAAATATAACTTATGATGAAACTTCATAAATTTGCTTCACATCCTATAAATCAAGCAAAGATGCTTTGCCAGTTTGGGCTACCATCTTTGTTTGGATTAGGGAATGGAGTCGCAACTTGGGAAATGGCTTAGGAAAGGCTTTTATTGTGCAGGGGATGGAACATTTCATTATCCAGATGGTTTGAAGAGTCTCTGAGGATTGTGGAAATACCTTCAAAACAGCTGTAAGTATTTTTGAACAACCTGCATTTTTTAAAAGGGATTTATTTCTCAGAAAAACGAATGCTTTGCTCTGCGACTCGGATGTAATGATAATACGGAGAGACACCATCTGGGGCTAGTGAATACAGTGTTATCATAACCAATAGAAATAATGCCCAAAGCTTCAAAAATGAGATCGGAATTATCCTTTAAGATGCCCTAAGGCCCCAAAGAGTGTCCTCCATCCGCACCGGAAATTCACAGAAATCATACTGGGAATAAGAAAGCTGTATGTCTTATCTCTGCCATGGTTGGATCTCGCCTGTTGATTTTTGGTAGGTTTGCTTTTATTTTATGCAGTGGCGGTGTGTCATTTAAAACGGCACTGCCAAGTCTTCCTAGGCAGAGCCCGTGATTGGATTTCCAAATGCTCATTAGCAGACCTGCTTTCACTCACTGTCTCATCCACACACACTCATACACTGTTAAATCTGGATTCTAAAATGACTCATAGCTTTCATTCTTTACACAGGTGTTTGCTTCTTGCTTTCCCTCTTCGGGCTTTTGGGAGAGGGTGAGCACATTCTTGCTTCCTGCTCTGAAGGATTGCGCTCAACCTGCCCACATCCTTCACCGTCTTTCCTTTGCTTCATCCCTCTCTGCCTGTCTTCCTCCACTTTTATTTGTCACCATCCAACCCACATGTTTTTTTCACATATCCAGAGCATTGTTCCATGCATACTACATAATCCCCTCTCTACAATATCAAGGCCAATGGTTCACATATTTGCGATCCTGTTCAGCAAAGAGGAATGCTGCTCTTTTACATTCAGCCTGATAAGTGAAGTGGGTAAATTGACATTTCGTTTAACAAATTAATTTAGCTTGTGTCCATGTAAGCCAATTTATGTTTGGGAGAGGGTTATTATGTTATTTTATTATTTTCAGCCGACACAGAAGCTGGGGTGGTAACATTTTTCAAACTAATCAAGGAAGTATGCTGAAGAGTTAAGTAAAGAGTTGTTATTTCTAGAAATCAACTTGCAACAATGCCAGATGTCGCCATTTTGGTCACATTTTCTTCATGCTTATATAGAAATATCCACACTTTAAATTGCTGAACAAATCACATTTATCTATTTAACATGTATTAGTTTTAAAAAACAATAATAAGTCAAATATTCAGCATGTAGCAAATTTCAATCCAACACATTTCGACAAGACCGGAAGAACATTTAAACCCGATAACAAGATCATTATAATAGAATAGCTTGAATGAATGGTTGTGTAATCTCTGAAGAGCGAGGCAATGTGTCCACCCCAGCAATTCCGGCTGATAAAAGGGAGATTACAAGGATGATTTACTACAGATTACACCAAACAGCTCTACCAGTGCTTTCACTGCTAGTTTGCAGCTCATACCAGGATCAGAAACTTTAAAGATGCCATCAGTTGCAAGAAAACAAACTAACAAAATAACCTGTTTGAAAAAAATCTTACAATTTTCATTTTAACCAGTCATTTACAATATTATTTTGCTCATCCATTTCCCTATGGTAAAAAAATCCCTAAGCCTCTTAAACCGTTTTTTAATCCTTTTTATAATCACTTTTTTTAATGGTCGAGTGAAAACTAAGCAGTAGTCTATATTGAAGAGGAATGAACAGTTTATGTTTTTGTTTTAAAAGGAAGCACTAAAGCAGCTTCCCAAATATATTAAAAGAAAACTTTGCAGATTTTCAACCAGCTGTTTATCTTCCCTCCATGTTGCCAGCACCAAGAGCTGCCCGTTCATTCGCAGATGACTTGTTTCTCACCAATCTGATTCTCTGTAGAGGCGGGCATACAAAAAGTTCATTCTGTAGTTCAAACAGCCCTAGAGCCACGGACAGTCGGATTGAGAGAGGCTGGGTGCAGGCAACATGGAGAGAAGTTAAACATTGTTAATTTTAGGTGATCCTCATAATTATCACTTCTTATCAGGTTTTTTAGGTATGGACATGTAGATAAGGTAGATTACATTTTGCCCACTTATTTGAGTAGTTCTAGGAGAGATCCTGTGGACATATGCACTGCAGCTCTTTTAGCAGAACCACAAAGTTAGAACAACTATATCAGTTTTACTGTGTCCTCTACTAATCTCAGAAGTATCATTAAAGACTATGGAGGAGAATTTCTTTTGGACGAGGCTGTGGATAATCTGGCTACAGAGAAGAAACGCACACAAGAAAATCTGTGCAGGACACTGACAAATCTGAAACCCCATCAAAATTCTCCCGAGCATATGGGCCTGGCGACGTCCCACCATGCTTTTCCACTCTGCCCTGCCAAGCTAATTCAAGAGTGACTCTCCAGCAGCGATTCTATTTGCAGGCAGAACAAGAGTGCTTCCTTAAATACACCCTCTGCGCTCATTGGTCAAGCTATGAAGGAAGAAAATTACTCTTTTTTTTTTTCATTACTCCCCTTTGTAAATGCAGAGATTTAATTTTGATGCGTGAGGAAGGGACATTTCAATAGCTTTGAGTCATGAAGGGTGCTGTAGTAGAACAACATGCTTACAGCAATTGCATGCAGCAGCGAGACCTGGGAAATATGGAACACAAACCTGTCCTCGAACCTGAAGCTGACAGATTGGTTGAAGGCAAGGCTTGGTTTTAGCGCTTTGAAAACACACTGACATCTGGAGAGCCTTAAAACCACTGACATTTACAGCATTAGCTCTCAAACCTTCAACAAGCATTAAAAGCGTAAAGAGCGAAAGACAGAGAAGACAGTTGATAGGAGAGAAACAGAGGAGGGGAAAGCAAGGAATAGCAGGGAAAAAGGATGTTGGGGGAAGGAAAGTGAAAGTGAGAGGTGGGGGGGAATCTGAGCCACAACCTGGATTTGACATTTGACCACTGTTTACATGATATTGAACTACACATACATACATATATACAGTATATATACTGTATATGTTATATTGAGGGACTGGCGTTTTACATAAGCCTGTGCATGACTACTGGGCCTCTTTGAATCATACTTACGTCTCCCATCACCATGGCTACAACCTACAGTAGTGTGGAGGCGCGCTCTACATCTCTCTCCTGCTTTCCCTGGCGAGCCGATCCTACAGTCGTGGGTTAACGTGAAGTAATGGGTCTTCAGGGTCTGAATCTTTATCTTTCTTTGAGAAGCTCGACAGGGGCTTGTGGCTTTTGACTGTTGTGTATGTGACTGAGAAAAACCTTGAAAATCCCTGTTGCAGTCGTGTTTCTTATCAACCCCTAATTGGTGTCTTTGCACTTCTCTGTTTATGAACATGATGTAAAAATTAACCGTTTTACAAGAAAGTGCCAGTCTGTGTATTCTCTCACTATAACTGCTTTTTTTTTTTGCTCTCTCATAGATGCTCTTTATCTAAAGATGCCAAGACATTTTTTGACAGGGATACAGGAGTCCTGGAAGTCCCAATGACAGTGCAAGTAGCAGGGCAGGTTTGTATTATATTATACACTGGAAAAATCCAGTATATATTACAGGATAGCTCTGTGGGATCCTAAGAACAGTGTACTTGTCGTGCATTACAGGGCTTGTGTCCTACTTTGTCCCCAACCGAAGCAGAGCTGCTGAAGGTTGTAACCTATTTTGCTGATAACAAGCTAAAATTATCTCCCACCCCCAAGGCCCAGTTACTCCATGGGCGTTAATAAGCCAAGCATAAAGGTTATCCCATATTGTTTAACTGAAGATTACTCCAGAAGCTCAAAATGGGAACACAGAAAGCTATGTGTTCTCTTCTTATTCAGTGGTGTACATATTATGTGCTAGCATACATTTTGTGTTTATTTATTAGTGTAATTATTTAATTAACATAGATACATATAATATGTATGTTAATATATAATGTACGATATATTCTCTTCACATACTTCATGGATAACACATAACATACATGTACACAGTCAATATGAATATCAATATGTAACACAGAAAACATGGATACATTTACATACATAAGACATAAATATACATTCACGTGTGTGTGTGTGTGTGTGTGTGTGTGTGTTGCAAAGTGGGAACAGTTACTATATCTCAGGTGCCTATGGTTCCCAGGAATAAAAGTCCAGCATTTGCAGCACAGATGATGTTCGATGACAGTCGAAGCACTTCCGCAACTTATGAGCCACTGTGTTCTAAAATATCTAGGGTATAAGCCTATGTGCATGCATAAATGGAAAGTTAACTACAGCTCCCATGGTGCATTTTGGCATTCTGTTACCAGCATAAGTGCAGGATGACACCTTTTGGAAAACATAAACGTAAAAAAAACACAATTTGCAGCTTAAATGAATTTTCTTTAGGATTCTGCATTCATTTGGCAACTATGGCACCATGTTTTATTCCCAACTGCAACCACAAAGTGATTAGAATTTGCTGCAACTCTTGCTGCTGGATTATTTAGAGCAATTCACCATGCCATTCTCAAAGTGCAGTTATTCTTTTGACAATAAATGTTCCTCAACATAGACACACAGGAGGCTCCTGGATGTTTTAACTTTACTATAGCTTTCTGTTATGTTATTTTAATCACTTCAACCTCAGTTTGGCATGGTAGATGGCTCTAAATGCTACGAAACCCATGAGCTTCAGCCGCCATTGCTATAGAGAAGAAGATATTATAATATGACTTTATTACACTTGCACATTTTTACCAAGATATTATATTTCCATACCATGACTAGTATGTACTGGTATTACATATATGTCCTGTATATTGACTTCAGAGTGGTCCACATTATAGATTAGTTGTTGTATTGTAGCTCTGGTTGTGTACAGTGCAACAAACACTGATAAGCAGACTTTTCAGTGTCAAGCAAAAGCTCCTCTCAAAATGCACAAATCTAAATATCCTCTTCTCAAGGTCCAACTTGAATTTAGAAATATATAAACAATCAATTCAGAAGCCCTTGAAGTGGAAAATAAAGTGCTTACAGCATCTGAATTCCTTCAACTTGTCAGCAGCAGTTTTTATTAAAAAACACAGAGCAGCTGCTTAGACATTCGTGTTGCACTGATGCCAGTACTCTTTCTCAGTAAATCTAAATCTGGTCGGTCCCCTTGCCAAATCATCACCTTCCTCTCCCCCATCCAGCCCCTATTCCCCGTCTCTACCATGACAAGGACAGGGGAGCAGAGCTCTGACATGGAGCCAAAGACTGGGCCAGGATGCTCCTGTGGAGCACCAAAGCTGTTGCCCTCCCAGCCCCAGGCTCTGAGCTCCTGGCATCAAACCATTCACACACACACACACACACACACACACACACACACACACACACACACACACACACACACACTCTCTCACACACACGCTGTTGTATGGCCACCAGACACCACAGCAGCCAGGAAAGCAATGGTGCAGAGACCAATAAACAAGGTCATCTGCTGCGCACTGACATGATTCAAGAAGACATTATCTTGAGAATGAGAAAAAAACACTGCTCACAAGATTACTTCGTTTTCTCATCGAGGACTAATATAGACAAAATGGACCTAAAGTAGTGTTAATGGGTAAGGCTAGTGATACTCTCATTATTGCTAGTAAATCCCATAAAATGACCAAAACCTACAGTTGATTTATCCTATTCCTCTGTGACATAGGCCTCAATTGTTTTCTAGTGAAAAGCACAGCAATCTCATATACACTGTCTGCTGGCGTAAATACTAATCCGCTGCTTAAAATAGTCCCCAGCCAATGCACTGTTTACTTCACTTTGAGTAGTGTTTGCTGAAATCTGCAATGCCCATCTGTTTTTGGACTTTTTAGGGAAGTTGGAAAGTATAGACAAGGACTTGTGTATTGTTGGTTTTAGTCATTTCATTAGACTTTATTGACAATAAGTAAAATGAAGAATATCACCAGCCTTGCATAATTAGCACACACCATAATACTTCTCTGGGAGTGGTGAGGTCACTGACAGCTACTTGGTTTGTTGCAGATATTTCAATTTCTAAAACTTACTTTGATCCTACACTCAGTTTTGGAATGCCTGTACACAAACACACACACACACACACACACACACACACGTCTTGCATCTCTGCTGCTCAGTGATGAATGACGACTATATGCATAAAAGCATTGCTTCATTTCAGCTTGGAAGACTAAAGTGGCCATGCCTTTACCATGAATTCGATTCATTAGATACTTCAAGTGCATATATTAATATTTGTGAAATCACAGACTTAAAAAAGCTTATTTTTTAAAGAAAATAAACATCCATCCATACTAGTCCCATGCTAATGGTGCTGTCTTTGTATTTTTTCTTCAATCTGAATATGAAAATGTATAATTAAGATTTTAAAAGTGATACCAGCGCAGAGCGTTTTTCAGGACAGCCACTGGAACCCTTTTTATTACATAAATCAAACCATCCGGATGTTTTACATAACATTACAACATTATTATGATATTAATGATGACATTAGAAATAGTTTTTGTTTTTTGTTTCTGTTGATTCTTCATTGTTGTTGATAAAAAAAATGTTCACTCAAAGAAAAAAAGGTCTCTAATTATGCTTTGTGTGTTCAGGTGAAGCCTGTTCATTTCACTGTCCAAGCAGTTGTGACCACCTCAGATCTGGAGTTTGACCGGACTGAGGTGGACTTTGGCTACTGTTCCATTTACCAGTCAGTGAAGAGCAGCGTTCGGCTCACCAACCTGTCCCTGCTGCCTCAGGACTTTGGCTTCTTGGGTGTTCCGGAGGTATTGCACGAGTAACAAGAACGTCTGTGATTTTAGTTTGGAGTGAATACTTTATCTTCTGTTACATGTTGCTGTATTTGTGAAGTACGGTTGCCAGGATCCCAATCCAAGCAGAGACAAACCCAGATACTATTAGTCACTGAAAACAATGTTTTTATCAGTGCTGTATTTGAAGGTGGTGTCAGCTGTGTATGTAGTCATTAAGATAGGACTTTCACTTTCAGGAATTCTGCTTCACCCTTTGTTTCACAGGTTCCCCAATTTTGAGATTTGCTGTTTTTGTTCAGTCCTTAAGATTCCAGTTTTGGTTGATTTGGTGATACCTGTGGTTACCGTGGCAACAGCAAATGCAGTTCAACACCACAGCAAACCCTCGTGATTAACTAATTTGGCAGAAATGCAACAGACGAGCAACTGGTGTATCTGTTGTACAGTGCAGCCAATCACACTTGCAATGTTTTGTTAAAGAAGTCATTCAATAATAATTGATGGGGCGCACGGCAAAAGCATAAAAGCTGTGTTTTGGATGAATATTACATTAGCACAACTTGTGTTGTGACCTCATATTGTTATAAGCACATAATAAAACATTAATACTACATTCTGTACCAGTAAGATGACCAGCTGATCCTGTTGCAGTGTGGGCGGGGAACTGATCTAATTAGCGGTCAGTGTTTGTCAGACTGCTGTAGAGGAAAGTCTCATTTTATTCCAGCTTTGGCGGTTCTTTACAATGTGCTGTACGTTCTATCATAAATGTAGGCACAAGCAGCAAAAGTAAATCCACACAATATGACACATTCCCACTTCAAGTGAAAATAACGGAGTTGGGGCACCCCTTGTTGCTGAAACGCATAAGTTATAGAGAGATAATTACTGAATGTACATACATTGAATGGCTATTGCAGGGAAACTGACTATGAATAATGTCTAAATTGGGTTTTGCTATCATGAAAATGATTAGATTAGAACAAAATTTTACATTCAAACATTGTGTTGTTTGTGTTCTCTCACACTACAGTTTATTGAGGTCCAGCCTAATGATGGCTTTGGCACTCTGCTCCCACAAGAGACCCTGCAGATTGATCTGATTTTCAGTGCCAACAAGGCTAAAGAGTACAGTTTCCAGCTCAGCTGCAAATCTGGAATTAACAGGTGAACTTTTAGTCTTGCACTGTGTATAAATGAAATGTCATATATATGGTTTTGTTGATTTATGGGACCAATATATCCCTGAATATAATGATGGGATCTGGTTGATCAGTGTCATTATGTCTGATATGATGGATATAATTCAGTTACGTCCCATATTTATTCATATAAAACTGAACAATTTCTTTTTCTTTGTCACCAGAGATTTCCGTCTGTCTTGCCGAGCGGTGGGTGTCCGCCCTCCACTGGAGCTGTCCCATTCTCTGGTCCAGTTTGGGGCCACGGCAGTAGGTGACCACTCCACTGCCATACTTTACCTGATCAACCATCAAACCAACCATATCCAGTCCAAACAACCAATCCCTCCACTGGTCAAGGACGCCGTGGTTCCTGTAGCACCCAGGCTGTTCTCCTTCACCCTGCCCAAGGATTCAGACATCAGCATCACTCCTTCAGCGGGTGGCCTGCTGCCCGGAGAGGTGGAGTAGCACACCTCTTGTTGTTTACACTGATATGAAAGGGGCACACAAGATTTTTTTGATACTCATGCTACTGGTGCATTGTGGGAGATATAGGACGGGAAAGAACCTGTACAAGGAGCTAAAAGTCATGATATGTTGATTTTATTTTGATGCATTCATTCTGACCATTGTTTTTTTAATGTGTCTCTTATGATTCCCCCAACGCTATGGAAGTGCATTACTACATTGCCGGAGTGGCCCTTTAATATGGACTGTCAGAACCTGTTTAAACCAAGCATGTCACTAGCACTATTGGTGCAGCTGAACCCCCCCACCACCCGCTGTTAGTCAGCCTGATCTCCTGAGGTTGTGTTTCTTATTTTACGCATGGCCAAAATCTTAGTCTAACATAATTAAAGGTCTACATATGATCATAGTGTTACCCGTAGCTCTGAGTTTAAATTTAATCAGAATTGTTTGAGTTAAGCTTGTAAATGTAACCTTTAATTTTACTATGTAGGAAAACTAAACCTGGCACGTGGAAGTACATTTGTATTTATTGTTATTTTGACAATTTGCATCGAAGACATACTTGTCGTTAATGGTTATCAGAGTAAAATCTTCCAGCCTCAATTCAACTCAATACAGTTATACAGAATTACAGTGAGACAACCATTTACCATTGGCACACAGCAGATGCCTTTATAGCGTAATGATGCACTCTACTGGATACCTGATGGAAGTGAATGAGTGCTTTTTATTTTGCACTGTCTATGTTGCACTAACAGTGAGTACAGAATATACAAAAAACAGTGAATGTTAATTAAATATTCACTGGATGCAGCATCATTTCACAGTATATGTATTTTAAAATACATCGCAGCCCATTGTTATGGGGTGTGACAGTTGAATTTGAATCCTATTTTCTGTCAGTTGAAGTGGAAGACTTTCCTCCAGACTCTGTTTAGAAATATAATTAATCCATGGCATTATTTTTTTTCCTACTGCATAACAGAGGACCAGTGGGAGAAATTCAGTAAATAGTATGCAATTGGAAAACAGGGGGATTATCATCCTCAGTCCACTTGAATGGGTCCACATTACAAAAACCCCAGAACAGAAGACTGCCCAAAACTAATTTAAACCTCCACTTTGCAATATGAAGTGGATGGCCAAATTAAAAATCACCAGTGAGGAAGAACACTGGAATCTGAATGCCATTTTAAAGTTTCTTGAAAATGTGTTATTATACACACAATACTACCCAGTGTTTCTGCTGTATGCTCTAAATCAGAATAATTCCTGACATGTTACCATCTTGACTCTCCCTTAGAGATGTCTGGTCCAGGTGAAATTCAGACCCAGACTGTTGGAGCAGGAGATCAAAGAGGAGGCGCTGCGTCTCCTCCACCGAGCCAAGTTGCTCCGTGAGAAGGAGTTGGAGAGGAACAGACACGCTGAGCAGGAGGTACGACTATACACACACCCACCCCGGTAACCTGCTGCTAGCGTGAGGGTCAGTCCGAGCTGCCACAAGGGTTTTAAATCTGAGTACGTCTTCACCAGCCCACTTTTTCACCTCGATAAACATGAATATAGACGTCCGAACCCATCAATCATGTTTGTGTGTGTGTGTGTGTGTTGTAAGAATAAAAAGGAGGTCCCAGTGGAAACCGGTAAAGGAAAGAAGGCGCCTGTGGTTCCAAAGAACAGCAATGTGTCAGACGGCCCACAGACAGAACAACCAACTGAATCACCAAATCCTGCCGACATACAACCGGGGTATGAGCTTTTCATTTCTACAATTAGATTTTTTTCATTGATGTCAACAATCTTATTGCTTGCATAGTATCACAAATTACTTTGGAAAACACATACGGGTTTGCTGAACTGAAATACCAGTAAGGCAAATTAATAATATTAATAAATATTCTATAACCAAATATCAAAGAGTAGAACTGCAAAAACTGAATAAATTATTCTTTAGGAAACATCTTTTACATTCACCCTGAAAGCGTCTTGTATCTCTAAACCCAATTAATAATAACTTGGACAGTGTGTGAGGAGAGTTTGTTGAGTTGTTTAATAGTGTTTTCCTTCAAGGTCAGAGCAGTATGAGGAGGCCCGGGCCTCTCTGCTGTACTCCTTCACACAACGCTACAGCGAGTTCACCATTCCCTGCTTTGTGTCGGACGGAAACCCTCCAGAGGAAGACCGACAGGCGCAGCCAGCATGGAGGTAACACTGAGTCAGCTCCCATACAGCTCTGTGCAGCACACTGTTGTCGTTAGTGCTGGGCGATATACCGGAGAGAAATATATATATACACATACAAACCAGCAGAATCTGTAAAAAATAAAAATAAAAATGCAGAATCTTTAAAAAATACCATGATACAAAGTTATAGATTTTGTAGTCCTAAAACCTGAATGTGAGCCAAGCCTTTTAAACCATGGCCTCCTTATCCAGACTTCCACTGCTGTGATAAGATTACCACTTGATTAAAATAGTTCTTTATTTGGTATAACCTTTGGAAATTATTTAAGCAGATCCAGTTTTACATGTCAGTTGCAAAAAGTGTGCTAACTTTCTTTATTACAGTTCAGTAGCTTGGCCTCTGTTGAAAACAATGTTTTAAAACAATCAGAGGAAAAAGTTTAGTCAGCGTCCAATTGTTTTGGTCACTATCTATTTCTTGTAGTTATAATGTTGGGTTTTATCCAGTGGCTCTAAATAGTGTCTCTCTTGTATGTAATATAGGCTCACTAAAGTATTTTTCGAAGAACTATTGTTGTAATGGTTATAAACTCAACTCAAATCAACACAAGAAAAGATTGTATGACCAAATGCAAAAGCACTGTTTAAACCTCAAAGACACAGAAATCAGACTGGTAGTTGCAGACGGAATATAAACTACACGCTTTTCCTCTCTGCAATTTTCATTCTCTTTTAAAATGTGGATTATAGTGGATCGGGCATTTGTTCTAGGGACCCCATTACAATATCAGCAGAGCCTTGTTTTACACTGCCTCAGGCTAGACTATTTGTGGTGCAAAGGTCCACAAAAGTATTTAATTAAGAGAGATTATTAAAGTTGATGTGTAGTATTGCGGGGAATGTCAGATGAATAATCAGGATACAATCACATTGATAAGCATTTAATCAATTTATTACTAAACACAAGTAGTTGTTTTGAAAACTGATGAGTCAGAATATAAATACATATTATGTTATTTTCCATTATTCTACTGACTTAAAAAGCTATAAAGAAAAACAAAGAGTGGAAGCTTTTACACATACTCATACACATACACATACTTATTTCATAGCTTGTCATGTCCAATATCTCCACAGTCCCTTCAATACTCTTTACTTGAAGCTGCAGTGTCCTGCTGTACAGCCCCCTCTAGTGGTAATATCCAACAATGGACACAATATCATAGACTTCCATCAGGTGGCAGTGGGTGAGTGATGTTTATGTTGCTTGATGGTTCTTTACATAGTGTAAATATCCACTTGTGCATAGCTTGTTTTGTAATTATCTAATATGTTGTATTTGTGTCTTCGTTTAGGAGAAAAAGTGATCAAGAGATTAACAGTTCAAAACATATCGAAGGAATCTTTGGATGTATCCTTTCTCCAGCAAATACTGATTAGCTAAGTCAAAACACATAAAACAAAATGCATAACTATAGAGTCCTGTTTTAAACTGCTAATGCAAAGAGATTTTCTATAGTTACAAAACCATGCTTGATGGTATCTGTGTTCTATACACACTTCTGAAGATATCTGTACAAGTGTTAAAAATGCTTTATGAAAAATGTCTAACGTGTAAATGTATTACTTACATCTTGTACTACAGGTTCACTCTACTTGCAGTACTTTGAGTTGTTGCGTTAAATGAATTAATATAATTAGCATGTAAATATCTTTCTACAGATACCCTAGCGTGCCCTCTTTATTGGTAACTGTATATTAAATCATTTTGTATTAAAGGGTCAGTTCATGTACATGTTTTCCTCAGTCATCTCTCGAAGTATTTAGTGTCCCAGATAAATTGGATTTTATTTGCCCAGGTCTTGAAGTGTCAGTTTCTGAGATTTCTGCCTCCACCCCAATACAATACAGTAGAATTATATTTGTGGTGCTCACAGCTGTGAAAAATTCTAGAAATAAATTTTGTGCATTTTCCACCTTTTATATGAGAGCAGACAGTAGAGCGATGCCAGGAAATTAATAGAGAGAGATGGGGAATGACATGCAACAAGGGGTCTCTGGTCATGGCCAGCGCCTTAACCCCTCAGCCTCTAGGACATTACACTGTAAACAGTTTTTATATGGACTTCTGCTGAAAGGATTTCTAAAGAAAGGGAAGGATTATACAGAGCAATAAGCCACTTTGTTGCTTTTGAGAATTTTTAAATGAAAAATTTTAACACTGTGAGTGCCATAAATTAAATTCTGTTCACCCTCATTGTACTGAGATGGAGGCAGGAAAAGCAAAGACGGGCGCCCATTGTACACCTATGACGTTAATCCAGGCAAATAGTAATCCTCAATAGGTTTACCTCATTTTATATTGGATACAATTCATAACAAAAATGGCATCTCTTTTTAACAGTTACTTTCATGTCCAGATATTAAATACTAATTAAGTGTTGCATGTGTTAATTGTAAATCGCCACTGCTACTATTACTATGAAAGACAGTGAGAATACAAATAAAAATAATATCAGCTGTTCATGGCTTTTCTTTGACCATTTCCAAGCTGACGTCATCGGTGCTGGATACACATGGTCCCTTTTCCATTCTGAATGCTCTCAGATGCATAAGACCTGGAGAGAATCACACTCTGGTACTGGCCTTCAGTCCATCTCTGGAGAAAAAGGTGGGTTAACTGTGTAGAATTAAGAACTAATGGATGACCCATAAGTCTCAGAGTGAAGATGAATTATCCAAAATGATTGTTATCCCTTCATTCGTCTTTACCAGAATTAGCGATTGTACCCCTCAAATCACATAAGAGATTGTTTTAGTAACATGATGAATATTATGAAGTATATTACCTTCCACCCACCCTCCACTGTTCTCTAGTACTGTGAGACTCTGGAGGTACGAAGCCAGAAGATGACCCTGGAGATGACTCTGTGTGGGGAGGGTGTGGTCCCTGCTGTCACCTGCTCCCACCCGGGAGGTCTCCTTGACTTTGGCTATGTGTTGGAGAAGGAGAGCTCCTCACAGGTCCTGAAGGTCAGTCAAACGTTTGTTGATGACAAAAGGACAAGAAAGAGTAGCACGAGAGTGAGATCTTGTTGGTTTTGAACACATTTCCTGTTTTTCCATGTCTAATTCAGGTCCACTCTTTAAATGATGAAATCCATAACTGAGCGAGTGTGTTGACTGTTGATATGTACTGATTACCTTGATGCTTTTGAGGAGGTGGCAGCCTTGGAACTGACATTAAACCCTTTTTTGCTTGCAGCTGCAGAATAGCTCAGCGGTGGCAGTGGGTTTCAGGGCCCTTCTGGCCAGCCTCTCTCCTTCCAGGCCTCAGGGTGGAGCTGACAAGTTGGCCTTCCTGCTGGGCCATTACACAGACTCTCAGGTCCAGCCTACTGTGGGTAAGATGTAATTAACACTGCAGTGACTCACCAGGAAACCTGACAACTTTGACTTCGTAGACCTCCAAAAATACAAATGTCCTTTCAACACCAAGCATTTAATACAGCAACGCCTGTATGTTATAATGTGTGTGTGTGTGTGTGATAGGACAAACCAAACAATATAGAACAAAATAAGTGAGTGGAGAAACAACAAACTCCTCCAAGACACAAGGGCTCACTGAATGGTTTGATGAATGTGAAAAGGACTGGAATGATATGCTGTGGGCTGCATAGTCACCAGTTCTTGGAGAATTTAGGACAATGAGCACTAAAGCTGCTCTGGAGGCTTGTGATGTCCCAACATTTTCCTACGTGTGTATATTGGTTTCTACAACATAAACCTTTTTTGTGCATTCAGTACAAGTGTCAGATCAATGAGTGCAGTTTGAAGAATGTTAAAAGAATGTTGTAGGTTCTCTACCGCTAGCTTATCGGTAAAAACTTAAAATGACTACCACCCAAGATCGCTGACTGCAGCCGACCAGACCAGTAATTGAGAAACCATGCACAAGCACTAGAACTAAAACCAACTTCACTTAAGATATGTTAAAGCAAAGAGTGGTCAACCGTGTCAAATGCCTTGAAGAGGTCCACAAAGATGGCAGCACAATGTTTTCTTTCATATGTGAGAAGTTAACAGTGTATGAGTGAGTCTAGGATTTTAATGGGATGTCATGAGCAGTTTTCCGAACTCTGGGAACAGCAATTATAGAACTAGACAGGTTGAAAATGTGTGTTATTTGCTCAGCAATCAGACAAAGAAAAATAGGATCCAGACTGTCTTCACTAGAATTTTTTGGGATCAGTAGTTTGAAGAGCATCAGTAACTGTGTTGAGAGAGACAGGGGCCCATGCTGTTCAAATAATTAAAGATTTATGAGGGATGTGGGCTGTGCACAAGAGGCTGCAAGTCGATTATGCAGTTTTTGTAGTTGAAGGGTATTTGTGTAGTATAGTTTCAGACTCATTCAGGTCATAGTGCTTTGTAGTGCAGTTAAAGGACCAGTGTGTAGGATTCAGAGGCATTTAGCAGTGAAGCTGCAGTATGCAACCAACTGAATACAGCTCAGCCTTCCAAGCGTGTAGGAGAAGAAACAGTGGCCACAAAAACGTGAAAGGCCCTATCTAAAGGCAGTGTTTAGTTTTTTTCAATAACAAAAAAATGTCTGGAAGGTTTACATGATTACCAACCAATAAGTTGCCATGCCAGTATACTGGCTGATATCACATTAGTGCAGATATACATGTATCTATCAGCCAATAAGTAAAAAGAAATTGTAGTACAGAAATGCAACAGTAGATTTGACGTAAACAAATGACGTTGTAAACCATTACGTAGCTGGTAGACCAGAGAGCAGTAAAAATAATATGCCTTATTCATACAGTCATCAATGTAGTATAAGTATGTGTAATATGGTGGCTATCATCATGGACATAATATGGCATCTGACAGCTGACATATTTTTAACAGCAGTACTAGTAGCAAAAGTAACAGTAGGAGACATGGTAATAGCAGGATGTCTTTTGTATCATGTACAGGAACCCAGAACTACAGTGGGCTGAGTGTGTTCAGTGCTGTGCCAGTAGAGGGCAGCATTGCTCCAGGACAAAGCCAGGACATCACTGTTACCTTTCAGCCTGACCACCAGTCTGTCAACTATTCTGACAGACTAACCATAGAGCTCATGAATAAGGTCAGCAAAGCACCTCACACACACACACACACACACACACACACACACACACACGCCTTGAAAACATTTCTTCACTCAGCCTGACCTTGGCCTCATGGTAGGCAGGCAAAATGGTGCCCTCTCAATGCACTCTTATTATCCAAATGTACTTAAAGCACCCTCTGTTCACTCTGGTCATATAACAACCTTAACCCTGTGCCATTTCTGTCTCTCAGAGTAAAGTGTGTGTGATGGATCTGAAGGGCGCGGCTTCTTCACACAACATGTATCTATATGGAGGAGACCTGCTGACAGTGCCAATCGAATCCCTCCTCCCTGCACTGATAACCAGTCAACCTCCACTCACAGGTATCAACGACTTCATCAGGGTCATCCACTTCCAGTATGATGGATGTAGTGTTGTGGAATACATAGTCAGTGTGGAACAGATAAATACTACATTGGTTATCTATGTTGATTATCCATGGAAATTGAAGTTCATATCATCTAAGATACCAAAAGCTGAGGAAATAAATAAATATGACTAGACACATTCCATAATTTGTGTGAGCAAGGGCAGGGTGTGTGATGTAGTAATGTATGTTAATCAGAGCATGCTGGCAGCCCATGTGCTTGTCACCAGCACTTACTGTAAATGTGACTAAATCAAAGAGGTGTTGGTGCATTAAAAATAACATCAGCAGTTGGATAAGAGCCTGAGCTTTGTTATAACTGTGTCAAAGAAACAGCACTCCTGTGGGAAAAGAGACGTTTCAGTAAAAAAAATACAAATGTCAGCCTCATGGTGGAACTAGAGGAAAAGTCAGGGGCTTACCACAGTCAGTAGGGTTAATCCTCTGGGCCCAGTATTTCAAAACCTTTAATATAGATCAGAAATATCCAGATGGGATTAAATCTCCAAATGAGGTATTTCAAAGCAGGAGATGTGATCCTGATCCGACAAAATTGGGATATGGGTTTGATAATCCATTTCTACCCAGAATCCAGATGTAATGTTGTTTTTGGGTATTTTAAAACTCTTAAGGATATTTTTTATTTGATGCAAGGGTGGATCCAGCATGGATGTAGAGACCAAGGTTATTGTAGTTAACTAAAATTAAACTTAAAACTAAAACTAGGCATGGAAAACCATTTTAGTTAACTGAAATAGCAATAAAAACTAGAAAAACTAGCTGAAACAATATTGTGTAGTTATACAACTAACTAAAATAATCAGGTTTTGGCAATTTGATCACATTGGTCAAAACAACAAGCATGAGGAGACATTAGTGCATATATTTACTCAGGCAGTGTTGTATTGTAATACCTGTTCTGAACTTCTTAAATGTTGCCACTGACAACTATCCCCCATATTATAATAAAAAAAAACCTAATAGTGAAACTAATAAATATTAAACTAAAACTAAACATATTTAAACCAATGCTGATAAATGAGTATCAGTAATATGCTTACTTCCCAACATTTTCACATCTTTACTAATGAAATGTTTAATGAAGTGTTGTCTTACTTTGACCAACAGACAGAGGCCTGTCCAGAGGCTGCAAATCTAGATTCTATAATCCCAATCTTGTGCTATCTGGATCAGGATGATCCTTTCAGACATTCTTTGAAAAACCAGGACAAGACGTACAAGATCAGTTTTAAATGGGATAGCTAAAAGGGGATTACACAGTCTGGATAATTCTGATCTAGATTAAAGATTTTGAAGTACTGGGCCCTGGGGACCATGAATATCTGTACAAAATGACATCCAATTCCCATCCACGTGTGTCCTTCCCTCGAGCCACTATCATTGCTACAATTGTATTTAGATTTCTAAATCACTGCAACAGTTTTTGTAAAACGTTTAGCTAGGATACAAACTTTTTTCAGCAAATTCCATTGACAGTCTAGTGGGCATTAAAATGGAGAGAAATGAAAGTATGTATGATTTATAGTAAATAGGCTAAAACCTGCAAGACCGACCATAGGATCGTCTGTATTAGCAGAGTCTGAGGTGATGGAGAAGCCCACCATCCCTGTGCTGGTGACTCTGCGGGCCTGCTACAGCGCAGGAGCCATCACACCTGCAGTGAGGGAGCTGCAGGTGGGCTGCATCCGCTCCATACAGCCCAGTAAGAAGGTACAGTAATGTCCTCAGATACTGACAGCCCAAATATCCTAAACAACAGAGAAGCTTCACTCTGACTACTGCAGCTGTCTGCTGCCACATGTTTCATTAATGTGCACTGTGAGGCATCATAAGAGAGTTTATAACCATATTATTATTATTATTATTATTATTATTATGCCGTACATTTACATACAAGGTTATTTAATTGTAATTTTACAGCACAGGGTTGTACAATGAAAACATAGTTTGTTATAGAGCTACCCTGTAAAAGATTTAAATCCATGTGGTATTGAATTATGCTGTCAATATGAACATTGATCAGATGATCGGACTCCTCCATCTGTGCCCTTTTTAAGTCTCTAAAAACCAGAAAGTATAAATAAATAACCAGCTAACATCAGTTTTAATTGTTAAAATGTCCTTTAAACATGCTTCTTAAAATGCTGCTGCCATGTTTTTCCCCCTTTTCCAGCAAACACGTTGAACCATAAATATCCAATAGCTTTATATACTCCCAACCATGATTTAATTTAAGGATTGGTGAAAAACAATGATTTTGTCTTGAATCTCTGTTTGGACAAATCCCCTTTTCTCCAGAGCGGAGAGTTTCAGTGGGACAACGTGGCGTCCTTACAGCAGCAAGGCTTCAGTGTGGAGCCCAGCAAAGGCACTGTGGAGGCAGGCCACAAACGCACCATCAATGTCACGTGGAATCCCCACTGTGGATACAAGGTGAAAAAGTCAAAGTATCTTTAGGTAAAAGGACTGTTACAGCATCTGTCAAGAGTTTTAGTATTCTGATGTTTAAAATTAGTTTAAGCTTTTCTCAGCCAAGGATTAAATCCAGGTGCAAACACTGAATCCTGCTCCTTTTAGTATAGAAGTAGTTGAATTTTAAGGTAATAAACATTGAAAAAGCTTACATCAGCAGCTTTACAGTAATAGTAACACCATCAACGTGTGTGTGTGTGTGTGTGTGTGTGTGTGTGTGTGTGTGTGTGTGTGTGTGTGTGTGTGTGTGTGTGTGTGTGTTTGTTTGTCTGTTTCAGCCCTATGAGGTGGTGCAGACATGTGTGCCTCTTACCTTGAAGTGGGATGAGACGAATGTTTACAGAGTCACCCTGATGGCTTTGGTCTCCGCCACTGCTGACTGACCTCTGCGGTATCTGGATGCCGGCCAATGGGAAATCTGCTCACACGCACACTGACACGATACACAAAGACATGTGATATACTCTATATTTATGTGGCCAACATTAACAAATAAATAAATCATTTATGACTTTGATGAAGTTTTGTTCAAGGATGTGATTTGAACCATTTCTACTGTGACTGTAAAGCTTTCATGAACCCTGCAAGTTATGTCTTATACACAAACAGGCCCAAACGTGGTTTAAATGTCTGAGCGTCTGATCGACCCATTAAATGACTCATGACTGATCATTACCATAAATGAATACTAATAAATGCACATTATTATTTTAATGGGTTTTTTCACAGTTTGAAGAGCCAGCAGGTATCCTCTACAAGTCAGACACAAGACGCCTCCTGGTTGTGGGTTCGATCCCCGGCTCCTGGTGCCACATGTTGAAGTATCCTTGAGCAAGATACTGAACCCCAAATTGTTCCCGATTCCGTGCATTGGTGTGTGAATGTGTATGAATGTTAGTTTCTGTTCGATGGACTTTGCCATCATCTATATGAATGTGTGTGAAAGGGTGAATGTGGCACGTAGTGTAAAAGCGCTTTGAGTGGTCGGAAGACTAGAAAGGCGCTATACAAGTACAGGTCCACTTACCATTTACCTTCTTCTTCATGACTTCAACTTTAAGGATTTTTACACAACTGCAAGTCACGTTTATTTTACATTAACTTTGCCTGAGTTTTCACAATATGAAAAAGCTCTTCAACATTAAATGGTATTCTCTTTATTTTGGGCTCAGAATCTCATATAGCATGCACAATGAAAACACGTGTAACATCTCATCAATCATTGAATTTTAACTTGAAAATTTAAAAATTTTAAATTAAATGGTCTTTAATAGGAGATATTATTCACAGAATATACTGTATAGCTGTAACTATATATATAATATGATAAACAATCTGACTTTACACTGAGGTAAATACTATTTATAAAAGTCAAAATAATGATTGCGGCTATCTTTTTGCCTGTTTTCTGTTCCATTTGTGGTTCTATATCAGGACACAAACATTAGAAAGTTGCAGTTTAAATTTAAAAGGCAGAACACACATTTACAGCGATGCTGGAAACCATAGTTGACACTGCTGCAACAGAAACTCATCACATTACAACATTTTGATAGAAAACAGAAGAACAACAAGGAACCGTAGTCGTGGTCACCTGGGTAATGTATACAAAATAAGAACATTTTGCAAACATGTATAGTAATATGCTTTTGATCTTGTACTCATACAAGGTGGCATTATTCCGAGGACTAAGCATGTTATTTAGTGTTAAGCCCAACAGTTTATGTTCAAAAGTAAGAATTTATAGTTTTTTGCATAATAAAAATTGAGCCAAAGGATTGTTAAATGCTGTATTACTTCAGCTCTTATAGCTAGAATTATGTTGCTTCCAGAGCAGAGGAAGAGTAACAACAAAAGTCCTCATATTAAAAGTAACTGTGCCTTTTCACTACTAACACACCTTTGTTTAAAAAAACAACAAACAACTTGTCATCCCTGTGTCTCATTTATTGATGCATATGATTGACTGTAGAACCTAATTCCACCACCAGGGGGCGTGTGTAATGCCCAGTAAGCAGCTGTGTTATATCATGGTTATGGGTGTGTCAGCTGATGTAAGCCAGCAGATGTATACAGTACATACTGTAGCACTGCTGGTACTGTACCTATGAAGTGCAAGGAGTTCACACTGAGGCCAAACAAGTTTCAGTCTGTGAAATATGAAACAATATGAGTGGAGAGATATTAACACAGATAAATAATGCAATACAGTAGTTTGATATAAAAGCCTCTCATATGAAATGATAGCCTATTGATAAGGCATAGACAGATGTATTGGTCTAGTATAGTATTAATAGCAGTAGTTGGAGCTGTAGGCTTAATCGCTGTAACAGATAGTATCAATAATGTAGTGATACTTTATTATATCAGCTATTGGCAGCTTCAGTCCAAAAATACTGGTGCTGGTGTCACCTTCCAAAAACCCAGAGGTGATTGGTTTAACTCTGGTACTTTGGATATCCACCGAATAAGTAGGTACTTGTGCTGTGTAGCACTGTTAAATTTAGCTTTTATCTTTTCAAAGTTAGGCTTAAATGGATTTCAAAATCAACAGAATTCGATCAAAGAGTGTTACTCCACTTCTGTTTAAGTTGCCTATTTTTACCAATACAATACAGCATGTTATGACAAGTGTTTTACAATTCTGAGTAAGATGATTTCATTCTCCAAACCAAGGAAATGATGAAATGAAGTATTCATCATGTTGCCCCATAATTTTGACCCTACATGATGAAAGAGTTAGTGAAAGAGCTTGTAGACCATCATAGAACATTAAAAGTGTCCACTGACACCAGTGAGCTGGATTAGCAGCAGCACTGAAGGGTTTTACTAACGCTGTCTTAAACACCATGGACAAAACTTACTGGCTGATATCTGGTTGTTAATGAAAGATCAAAACAGATTTCACCTGATTTTGAACATTATGGAGATCACTGTAGTCTGTCCCCAAGTGATCAGTCCCACCCAGAAGGCCTGTGGACTGGGCCCAGCACTGTACCTGCAAGAACCTGCCACTAGGAGCCCTCCAGAGATATGGAATTCCTGGAATGTCATGGAATTTAAAGTGTAGTGGATTTAAAATGGTAACAGTTGGAGTATCTGACCTCTATTATGAACAGGTTGCATTAATAAAGAACTTGTTTTCTAACTAATTGATTTATCTTCACATCTATAAAGTCTCTGCAGCTGCTAGGTAACAATCTACACAAAAGATGACAAAATACTGTATTTTATACGAAATGGACGTAAAAAGCTTTGGCAATTAAATACAATGATTACTCGCAATGGGTTAAAAAAAGTTTACAAGAAAAATATAAATAACCACAAATAAATGATACAACAATACAACCACATTTTCAAAATACAATATAATTTATTTTAAGTAAAGGGGACATTTTTCAATATAAAATTTCTGAACAGCTCACTGGATAACTAAACAGGAATTATATGGACTTAAAGGAGGTGTGTGTTGAGTATCTGACATCTGTTAGGTGTCTCTTAGGTGTTTCTAGATTTTCTTTACGTTTCTTTCTCTATGTTTTAAATTATTCATTCATTTCCTTTGGGTGTTTTCTCTGGATCGTTTATAAAAAAAAAAAAAACAAGTGAACAAGTTTGACTTAGATATGAAAAGCATAAGCTACTCCCTTGTATTGCATTTAGACTATGCAACAAAAAGAGAATATACCAAAATACCCTGGACCAATGTACAAGTCCTTGGAATTTATTTAAAGTAAACTCAAGTCATGTAATCGCTCCACATACATAACTGTGTAGTGAAACAATTACAATGGCATTATGTGGAGTGTGAGCATCATCAGCATTGTAGGACATATAGGAAAACATTTGATTACATTATTTGATATTAGCAATATCAGTCCTGACAACAGTGCCAATGGACAAACTCTCAGATCATTTACAGCATCTCTCAGTCACATTTAAATTGTTTCCAACTCCTATCGGTGTCCAACTCTCTGAAGTGAAGTAGGCCCTGTGCATGTGAACAGCAGATGTCAGTAATGCCTCAGAACGGACCAATAGGATCTGACCTCTCTCAGAGATACATGCTGTAAGCATTTATCAGAGATTGTAGGAGATTATGCTAAATCAGATTACTGTACCCCAACCTGCCTATAAAAAGCAAGGTCATTATGAGCTTAGCCTCGTGTAATGTCACTCGTTTTATGAAATGTATGAGATCATATTAGGCAATATTTGTGTTGCCATTTTGCCTCTTTTTCTAATCTGATTTCTCCTCTGATCTCTCGCTAATACTGCGAGATAGTGCTACTTACTGTCCCTGCTCTGCCGACGGGAGGTGTATGGGTGTGTTTGTGAATCTCTGTATGCCTGTCTTTCTCTCTGTACGTGAATACAACCTATCAGGTTAGTAAATGTGACTTTATAAAATAGTGGAGAGTGTAAATGCTAAGAAAGGTTTCTTGAAGGCCCACATAAAGTACTCAATGTATAAACAATTAGCTTAACACACACAGACGGCTGATTTGTCATCATTATATAGTATGGGATATTACAAAAAAAATAAACTAAAGTTCCACTGGGAAAAAAAGAACACGTTTAATAATGGTTTCCCTCATTACGATCATCATACTTGTCCTCACCGTTTGTCATAGTTGGACTACTTTTTATTGATCACAGCTAAATCAGAGCTTACACGGAAAACACATTGAGGTGTGGATTGTCTTGTTTCCTCTCTTCCCATCAAAGGGCTGAATGCAGACAATAAGCTTTCTCCCCTGGGTGGTCCAGAGCGCTGCTAAAGAAGCTTCACAACACATGTGAAGCAGACAGGCAGGGGTGTATCCAGGGGCAACTAAATCTCACCAGCATTAACCTGGGCAGATGAGTCCCAGAGGAAACCCACACCCAGAACACCGCCTGATACACACACACACACACACACACAGGGGCATTGTTTGCAACTCACCCTGTGTATCTACCACTGTTTGCAGGCAGTGAATAAATAAAATGAATGCTGAATCAGGGTCTCTCCTCCTCCACCAATATAAAATATTTCATTAATGTACACCTAAAAATGTGAATGAATGAGTTTTGGTGGGTTTTGACTTTCACGCGCAAGCATGTGTGCCAACGCCCGTCCATACAGTACAGTAGTGTACAGTCACTATGGGGAAGGCATCCCTTGTAGGTGCACTAATGTGTGGTTACAGAGCTGACCATCCCATTGCAGAGGATTGTTCATACGTGGATAGCAGGCCAGTTTCCTCCCACAGGTTTGAGGTTTACAGAACTGGCAGGAAATGCACACAAACAAACAAACAAACAAACAATCGGGTGGAAATTCAAAATAATGAGACAGAGTATATACTGATGGGTAAATTTCATCTACATTGTTTGTTTTTTTTTACTTTTTACACGAATGATAAAAATATACGTCCATATTTCAAGTTCAGTATGATACATGCTGGCTTTTACCCATTTAATATAAACTAAGCCACAACAGTGACTGTCCGTGTAAAATGTGAATGCAAAGAAACAA